GGGGGGGGTGGGGGGGGGGGGGCTGGGGGTGGGGCGGCGGCCCCCCCCCCCCCCGCCCCCGCCGCCCCCCCCCCCGCCCCCCCCCCCCCCCCCCCCCCCCCCCCCCCCCCCTCGCATTGTTGGTTTGAAATTCGTAAATACTTCCTGATGCAACCGCCCAGTTGACTGACCAACACCCGTCCTGGAGCAGAACCCGCCTATCCTACATGCTCAGACGCCCGTGTATCCCAACGGCCAGCGATGCTAGTTGAACGCATCCAGTCCAGGAAATGTCATCTAAGAAGCGGGCGAATGTTTGCAGTTACATCTTGCACATCTGACGATATAAGACGGGTCCCTACCTGTCGCTTCAATGTAGCACTGGAATTGCGCATCACAATTGACATTCCGGCACTCCCGTTGCTCAGCAAGCAACCGATGACAATCCTGCATTGACTCAATCGTTTTTTCAAGGGCAGCTTTCTCACGACGAAGTTCGCGACACTCACTCTCGGATCCATTTGGCTGCCTGCCGATCTCTTGCTTGAGGTTGCGTAACTCAGCTTCTCGCCTGCCCAGGATCGAAAACAGAGCACAGACCAGCTTCACACCGGCGCCAGTACATAAGCCAGCCAGCTCTGTCACAAGGTCTTCTTTCTTGTAGAGGTATCGGATATGTCCCGCCGCAATTGTGGCTATGGACTCGTGTAACAGCGCATCGCCGCTCGTCGCTTCCGCCTCTCTTAGTACGCCGAGCAATGACCTGTCAATGCCGTTGAGGCCAAGATGGATCGAGACGTTCTCTCTTGAGAGAGAAAGAAGCGTGGGCAGATTGTAGTAATCTGCTATTGAGTTCACGCGCACGTGCTGGCGCACACTGTCGCTTGCCGCCCACTGTTCACCTGGGTCGTCGACAGAGGCGTCATCTTCCATGTAATGTTATTTCCTATTCTCGCAATATTCATCTTCGGGTTCTCACTCACCTTTGGTATTGCATTCGTAGTCTCCCATATACTGGAATTGCACCATCTGCTTGACTGTCTCTGGTAGAAACTCTTTGATCTCGATGACCCCCGTCGCAGCCTCCTGCACATGGTCAGTCATGCAAAACTACCAACCTGTATAGACATACTTTGAAAGAGCCATGCAGTTCTGCCTCAAATACTGGAGACTTTGAGCACAAGATGGCCCTGTGAACCTTGAACTCTTGCCCATCGCATACCAGCGTTAGGTCAGAGTACTGCCCAGAGAGCAGCAGCTTGTCCAGCTTGAGACCACCGACATCTTCGGACATGATGATGGTTTTGAGAAGGAGTTGGGCGAGTTGGTTTGTGTAATGCGTTGGGAAAACATGAGGATGCGTGAAGATGCGGTGGGGTGATCCAGGTGAAATCGGATTTGAAGACGATATAGCGGCGGACCTCAGTTTCACTTCACATGGGAGATTCTTGTCAACGCTTGTAAATTTACGTCATAGCCCCAAGCCTTTCAGAACAGGCTTGTTTTATTTGGTAATGTCTGTTTGTTGACTTCGCTGCCACTTCGCTGCCACTTCGCTTCTTGCTCTCGCTCTGGCCCTGAAACTCGAGTCACTGGCTCGAGCCCGTGGAATCCTATAGAAATTTGAGCTGCATGCATACTGAACAATCAATCTGCTCCAACGATGAATTCCTCGGGGTAATGGTGGCGCAAAGTGTATATGTTTGCCAGCAAATTCAAGCAAACTACGTCGCATTTCACACAGACAAGAGAGTGACCCTCTTGGCAGCCCGTGTGAACACATACTCACAGTCAACCCTGATCGAGCATACATAGTGAGATACATTAAATTCACACTACCAGACCAACTCCTAAGTCCTTAGATATCTGAGGCTGCTTGTTCAGCACACATGGCAGTCATTGACGACCCCCCTTACATGATGTATTCAAAACAATAAGGGCTTTCAAGGGGTCGTCGAGTCTTACTTGCGGCAAGCTCATGCCGCGAAAGAAGCCCCGTGGTCCAGGTTCCTATCAGAACGGATAGATCGCTTGTTTCGGTACCCCTGTGCTGTCGTCCAGACCGGCTTCAGCCACCCGATGACATCCTCTGCATCGAATCACAAGATACGGCGTTGAGAAACTCCTGATCACCTCAGAATGGCAATTAAAGGTTGCCTTGCAACGAAAACATGACTTCAACTGTTCCAGACTGTCGTGGGCTTTGTCCTTGAAACGTTTCTTTTCAGGGCTTACCTCCAGTTGCTCCCGCCGAGTCCGCTCCTTTTGCAAAGAAGCCTCGAGCCAACTGATGTGTTTCTGGTCATGGAGTTTTGCGGCCTGGATCTTTTCGAAAGTCTTGGAAAGAATTGTCGGTCCAATGCCAGTGTCGTAATGTGATTCTCTGGCGAGTAGGGGTATGTTCTGTGCCAACGCAGTAGCCATGATCTCGTGCAGTGCTGCGTCGCCGGTGGTTGCATGTGCTTCCTTTATTGCGCTCAGTACAGTGGCTTCAGTCTGGCCAAGCTTGCACAGTTTTGCAAAGACCTTTCTGGAGAGGTCTGAAAGTTCGGGAATCTGGTAGTAGTCTGCAATAGCGTTTACTCGCACGGTTTGGTGAAGTTCATCGTTGGGCATTTCGCTGTCGCCTGCCTGGCTGTCAAGGTCTTTCATCGGGACGGCGGAGTCTTCAACTAGAGCTCGGGTCAGCCGTCAAACGTTGATAGATTGAGAATTTCCCGTCTTGGGGCATACAATTGTAGTCTGTGGTGTAGAGAAACTCGACCATTTGCCTCACAGTCTCCGGTCGAAAGCCTCCGACTTTGATGATGCCAGTCCGAGCCTCCTGTAGCGTAGCTGATTAGCTTTGATAATTCATAATTTGTTGTATTCTCACCTCAAATGGTCCATGGACCGCCGCCTTCAGTACCGGTGACTGCGAGCATACGATAGCCTTGTGGACTTCGAAAATGTGCCCGTGACACGATAGCGTGAGATCGGAGGGTTGGCCTGTTGCCAACAGTTGAGCTAGTGTGCGCTCGGGGGCGTTTTGCGCCATGTTCACAGTCCGTTGGGCTGAAGCTTGAGGGTGCTGAGATGGATATCGACCAAGAAAAGTTGGTGCAGAGAAAGAAGTTGATGCAGAGCATAAAAGTTGGCATCGCCAGTGGAGCAATACCAGCTGTCACTCAACAATGTCGAACTGTGTTGCGCGGCTCCGTTCAATAACAAGGCATCTTTTCATCTGAAATGTCCCAAAGTTCATGTTCAGACGATATATTCATCCACTAATAGCAAATCACACGACGTCAGTGAATGCGAGGCGTCTCGCATAGCCCCGTGTCCCAAAGCTGGTGTCACACAAGTCGCTAGCTTGGACGCGAGTATCGAGGATGGCCAGATCCAACTCTGTACTGTTCAGCCATTCACCTGAGAACGTCAACTCCAAACTTGAACTCTGCCCAGTCGTGCTTCAGAACCATGAGTAAATGAGGACCGTGTTAATTAGAAATCAGGAGGGCGCTTACTGGAGTCAGAGAACCTACTGTCGCGGCTGTACGGACTTGTGTGCAAAGGTTCCCAAGATGCCCGATCGTTAGGAAAGTTAATTACCTGGACAAATACATTCTATATCAACAAGAGATGCGAATATGTCCAACATGTCCCCAATTGGCATCACAAAACGCATCCGAAATCTCCGCATGTCCTTGACGCCTCAGCTTCGCCCTACTCGGGTCCCATTGTCCATGCCAAACCCCTTACGCGCCAAACACACCTGGTATTCCACTCATCGAAGTGGGAGCGTCGTCTGAAAGTGGTCCGGGTAGTAAGCCACACCACCAATCGCCCTCCCAGGACCGATATCATACGTGTACTCTCTCCGTACCTTCGGCCAGGTCTTCATCTCCCTGATGAGACAGCACGCCGCGACAACCTTAAAACTCTGCAGTTCCTCGCCGCGGGCTTCCGGGTCTCTCTTCATGCCCACATACAGGCACGCAAGACAAAGCTCCAGCACATTGTCCTCATGCTCCTCCTTGTATTGCTGCTGGTGATGGGCTTCATCGTCCTCGCCAGCTTCCTTGCTCTGCGGCGGGCCCGAGTTGCGGATCATGTTGACAATCCAGGTCATGGTCTGGTCGATCGCCTCCTTTAGCTTGATACTCGAGTCCCGCTGCCGGCGCGTCTGTGAGCCTCGCTTGTTGAGGATGAACCCGCAAAAGATCTCGACCTCGGTGATGGGCGAACGTGGGTTTTCCGAGAAATCCCACATCTTCTCGGTAATCGCGTTTTCATACCGGTCGTAGAAGTCAGTAAAAGAATTCAGATCACAAGTGGCTCGAATGACACCTACATGTCTCGAATATCCCACGCACGGTCGATTCTCCGCGTCCAGAAGAGACGATGCGAGTGCTCTGCCAGTATTTCACGCTCGACGTGATCCCAGAGCAGTTGCCAGACCGAGAGCCCCTCCATGTCAATCTCGCGACGTATATCATGACTCCATATCTTGTTCTCGTCGACGTTGCGGTAAAGCCGGCCCAGAATCTTTTCCGATCGGTGGTACAGCGGCCTGTATCCCCCATCGATATCGACGCCTTCGTCATCAGCAATATGCGCAACCTGTCCGAGGTCGTACAGCTTCAGTGGCGGCGCAGGCGCCAAGAAATCCGGTCTCGTCCTGGGAGGCTTGGGCAGATCCTTCACGTCAACCGGTATCCCCGTCTTGGACGAATCCACCGCCGTAGAATGCAGCCCGGCCAACTTGAGACAGTCAGGGGCCACGGTACCCTCATCCTTGGTGTCCGCCAGGATCTGATGGCGCGTGGCAATCATGCCTAGAATGTCCGTCTTCATAAAGTTGATGAAAAAGTCGGCAATGTCGTCCCGCGTCACTTTGCGATACAGCTCGGTCGGGCTGATGCGGGGGTAGTCGGCAGGCTCAAACTGCTTCGACACAAAGGCCGCAGGATCCCAGATGACGCTGTACAAGTCGCCGTCCAGATCGCCGCCACTGAGTTGGCTGGGAAGATCGCGGCGTCCATTCCGGCTGAAGACGACGCAATTGGTGAGGTTGCGCAATGGGCTGTCACTAGGAGGCTCGACCATGTTCACCACCTGGATGTCGCCGGGATGCAGCGCTGGCGATCGCGTGACCAGAGCAAACCCCTTGCTAGGTGGATTTGCGATCTGGTTTGCCTTGTCGAACGTGATGTAGATCTCGCCCTCCTTCAGGAAGCCCGTCTCATCCATGATCCCAAACAGTGTGACACCCTGCTCTACGGGGATGCGTGCCTTGTGCTTCAGCAGCCGAAGCTCCTTCAGCACAACATTCTCCACGACCGTCCTCAGGAACACGTCACGTCGATAGTCAATGCCGAGATGGTGCAGTTCCCTGATGAACTGTGGAAAACTTATGTTGGTGCCGATCAGCTGATACCGTAGGAAGGTGCTCGTGTTGTTAGCAGACGCCGTCACCGCGCGCAGGAATCGGAGCTCCTTGTTTTGCAGATCAATAAACCACTGGTCCCGTGTGCCCATGTCCTCGAGAATCTTGATCATCTGACGGTTGAGCATGAGTCGGAGCGGTCTCGACGCGGTATCGCAGATGCCGACTTCTTTCAAGTCATTGCTCTGGAATTTTTGCATCGACTCTTTTCGAATACAGATCACTTTGCCAGGCAATCTGGTATCGAGAGACAGCATGCCCTTTGCGCCGCCGTACCGGATCTGAAAGCACGTCGCAGCGGCTGCGCTCTCGGGCAGGTATTTCCAGAAGATCTCCATCGCCCCCTTTGAAATCGTGCCGACGCCGTCGCTGAAAACACGAACGCCATCCCGCGACTTGATGTCGGGAATGTACCGAGTGAGGACGTTCTCTTTGAAGATGGGTACCGCATACGGCGTCTCGCTGAAGGCCTGTCCAATACGAGCGGCGCACTTGGCGGGGACGCGAATGTCGTCAAATGTACCGAGGAGACGGATGATGGAGTCGTAGTCCTGTGGCATGTACTGGTCGTCCGTGAACGGGGCCATGAACCAGACTGAATGGGACCGCAGAGAGGAGTGCGAGAAGGCAAAGAAGGAGTAGTGGCGCCCTCCCACCCGGAACCCGTCCTTGAGAATCTTACGCCATCTTCGGTAGATGGGCTCGTTGGAGACCTTGGGGTTGAACATCATGTCCTGCCCGTCTTCGTCCACGAACAAGCATCGAATGAAGTAATCTGTGTGATTCGGGAACATTCGCAATATCCTGTTCTGGCTCTCAGCCTCGGGTCCGTGGAAGATGATACGCGTCGGAGTAATCATGGCCTTCATGATCCAGGCCTGATGGCCTGGAATGGGCGTGCCGTACACGGGGTGCCTCTCTGTAGGGTTCTCTCGTCGAGCGGTCGACGCATACTGAACAACGAGTTCCGCCAAGGCTGGGATATGGAGTTCATTGGGGTCGGTTTCGGGCGTGACGTAGGGAATGTCTTGGTATAGCTTCTTGATGGCGTCCACTGTCAGTGGGAATGGTGCACCGTCTGCTCTCGCCTCGCTGGCAATCTTGTCCATCTCCGCCAGGAGGCGAGAGCCAGCGGAAGGGTGAAGATAATTGTTGGAGACAAGGGCCTGGACTTGGAAGAGTACCGGAAACGGGAGTGCGCCCTGTCTTAAGTTGTAGTTGTCAAGTCTGCCTCTGAAACTTTTCATGCTGCTCTCAAAGTCGTGGACGAAGGACTCCGGGTGATTTTCCTGGGTGATTCGATACTGAACAAACGGGACATATTGGCGGTCCCTGATGGAGTCCGCCAAGTTGGAGATTGCTTGCTTGTTTGCATCGAGTCGGAAAATTGCGAATTTGTAAACCAAGCAATCAGCGACATAGCGCCCGTGGTCATGCCAGCTGGGGCAACAGTCGCTGCGCTCGTACTCTGGCCCTCTACCGTTGGGCTCGCCCACGGCTGCGAAGCATCTAGGCGGCTCGGAGAGCACGAGTGTGCATGAATTATCGACATCACTGTACACGAACGACTGCACAGTGTTGGTGAAAATCTCGAAACGATACTCGCGGGGCTGCGTGATGGTTAGTACACGGGGCGTCATCCGCACGTGCATCACATGAGCCTCGGGAGCCGACGTTGCTCGGAAGAAAGTGAGCGCTCTCTTTCGGAACGCATTATGACCGGCCTCGAGACGGTGTATGTCGAACTCCAGCGCTTGTGACGCGGACTGGTCTCGCGCGGGAGTTCGTGCCTGCTGACGCTGCTGGTGCTGCTCATGCTGCAGATGCCCCAACGTGAGCTTGTTGATGGGACGACTGCTTTTCTCCACAAAGATGGCGGTATTGGTGATGCGCAGGCGTGGAATGTTTCGTGGTTTGGACGGCTGTTTCGACGGCTGAGTAGAGGAACTTTCTTGCTCAGTGGAGGAGGCAGTCTTGTTCGTGACGACGGTCTTCTGGCCGTGCTTGGCCAGGAACCGTTGACCGTCCGCGGGTTCCAGGAATGTTATGAACGCAATGTTCCTCTTCTTGGGCTTCTCGCATCCCCAGACCTCGATCTTGAGCGCTTCGATGACGGGCGTGAGCTCCTTGCGGAGGGTATTGCGGTCCAAGTCCGGGGGGACGTTCTTGCAGACCACTTCCATTGTGGGCGCAAGTCAGCTTGAGTGATTGAGGGAGAAGAGGAGGGGTGCGAGAGCAGGATCAGGCCTCCACTCCAAGTTCGCTGAGAACACGAAGAATGCCAATTTTTCTAACGTGACCGCCAACTTGAAGTAAGGACGCGGGCACCCGCGCCTGGCTGTTGGCTATATGGACTGGGCTGGTGCAAACGGGGCGGATCCATGCGGGAGGCCGAATGCGCATCGAAGAGCAAGAGGTCAGAAAGTGGTAAAGAGCTAGTCACCCATTTGCGCATTGATGCGAGGATGAGTCGGTGACCGGTGGACTATATTGGCATGATGAGTGAGAAGTGAGAGGTTGAGGGAAATGAGGGGACTTCACTTCGGCTCGGTCCACGGTGAGGCTCGAGTTGTGCGGTGGGCGCCTCGGTGAAGAGGTGAGCCGGCGCAGCATCAACTAGCTGAACATCCTCAAGTACCAGCGATAGAGTAAGGTGTAAGATGCCCAGGGACGACTAATTAAAGCTTTGAGTCCTACTACGTAATTGACTCCTAACTCCTAACGAGTAGTAAGCGCCTATCTTGCTGCCAAGGTGCTGGATGCTTCACCCTACCGTATACCAACTGTCGCACGACCACGTTCGTCCCAATCATGTGTCGTCAGCTTACTGTTCGATGGTAATATGGATGAGTATGGGATTTTCGTGGCGAATGAGGGGGTTAAAAGGTTCTTATGTTATGCGCAATCGACCACATTGTCTTCGGCGTTATCAAGCAAAATTATGCTCATTATCCCCTGCCCGGCACTTGGTGCTGGATTGAGGCATTGCCTGTGAATGATTCTTGCTATATGCAGAGGGACCTTGATCTTTCATCATATCGAGATTGCGCACCAACGTTGATGCGCCGCTGTAATTCGATGACAGTATGGGCCAGTTGCAATGATTCCCGTCACAGACCGGCAGTCCATACGAAGCATCGACCTTTAGAGATGAATCAGACGTTCACTGCCACTAGAGCCAGAGTTCCTTTAGAACTACTCGATTTGTAACTGCTCAAATCTCGATATAGATCATCGCGCAGCTCCTGTGGACAAATCGCTAGGTACATGTAGCAAGGCTCTAGATTTAGAAGGCTGAAGCCGTAGGATTCGTCAACAGTTGCAGCTCACTGCATGGGCCCTTGTCATTTACGCCCTTGCACAGATTTGACAGTCCGTACCTATAACTCTACAGCTATAATTGTCGCGTGCTGGTCATGATTAGTGAAGTAGTTGTGTATGCATGCACGCGTATGCATGTAAGCGTGCGCCAGCCGCATACAGAGTACAAATTGCCAAATTCGAACATTTATACGTGCACTAGCCAGCTCCAACCCCTGGAATCCCGATCCATCGCCAGACGTGAGTCGTGAAGCAGCAAGGATATCACCAACGATCATTCGTCAAGCTTGGACGGATACGCGGCATGCGGGATCTCACTACCGAGCAGGGGAAGAGGATGAGGGCATCCTTGTCCATATACGTAGGCATCGGATAATCCAGTCTTACAATGGAGTACTTTTGTCAGCGCTCGGGCTTGGGATTCACCGAGCAGCGTATCAACAACGTGCGCAACACAAGAATCATTCGTCAGACACGGAGATGGGCGTCACTTCAGCCCTGCAAGGCTAGGCGCTAATGCAGGAATGAAGCCCTGCTCATCAAGCCATGCGTTCGAGAGCAGAGCCCCAAGTCATTGTACATGTAGCCAGCATCGCCAGAAGGGCTAAAAGCCTCCGTCGTCTCGATTCTCGCAGCGAAGCATCTGGCAGTGCAGAACTCAACCTGAGTTCAACCCTCTGTTATCCTCTTTGCCCAAAGCAAACGCCAGAAGCAGTGGCAGTGGAAACGCAACTCATCGTTCCGGACGGAAGTAAAGCAAAGGCAAAAGCAAACATGCATGCCAACCAACACCGCTCCGCCTGCGAGACCTGTCGTCGACACAAACTACGCTGCGTCCGCCCTGAACCCTCCGCGCCAGCATGCCATCGATGCATGAGACTTGAGCTACCCTGCACCACCGGCTCCACGCGACGCATCGGCCGACCAACACGCGCCGCCATCGTACGCTCACGCTCGCCAGGCCCTCTGCCACTGTGGATGTCGAATGGCTTCGACTGGTTGGGCAACGATTGTGTCATTGACACTCCGACCATTACGTTCATCAACGTACCCTCCGGCCCTCGAATGCCCGACACCGCCCTCCAAACCAGCACGCTCACCAAACCAGAGAACGCCTTTGCTTCATTGACCACTCTGAATTCGCGCCTACGTGCGGTAAATGAGTCGCTTGGTCCCTCCAGCCCGTTGGAGGATTATGTCTACGGGATCATTTATACGTTCGATGGGCGCACACAAAATGCCATACAGACCATGCTGTCGTCCCTACAGGCGTTCATCCAGATCATACGGGTCCTTGCGAAACAGTCCATGCTGAACTCGTTTCTCCCGCCAGAGTACGAGCAGAATCACACAAACCCCGCAACGCTGTTCCTGGTTGCATCCTGTCTTTCGCAGCTCCTCCTGTACTTTGAACGGACCTACACCGCGCTCAATACGCGTCTCGATGACTTCATGGTCCCAATGCCACCGCCATCTGATGAGACATCCTTTGCGCACGTCCCCGTGCAGAACTTTGCGTCGCAGTGTGCCATGTTCAACGGGTTGTCAAGGAACTTGCTCAAGCAAATGCTGGTCGACCTCGGCATACCCGGGCCAGGCACGTCGCTGACGGGCTCATTCAGACCGGGGTTGTGCGACACGGATGACCGCCTCAAGGACATGGTCAATGCCGAGCTCGGTCATGTGGAGGGCGATTGGTCCGTCCGACCACGGTTGGTGCTGGAGTTGTTGGATTTGGCTGACGAACTCGTGCTCACGCGGGCTATGGAGGATGGGTGGCAGTGACATACACGGGTCTCAGCCTCTCTGCGGAGCTACCCAGCTCGGAGCTGGTGTGAGATGTCTGAAGATAAATATTGATGTTAGCACGATCTTTGATGGGTACGTGAATAAGATAGCAGAACGAGTTGCCGCATTTTAGGTCCTCTTCGTCTGACTTGTCGCCGCCCTGTGAAAAGAATGAAGCTTTCAGGGGTACATAAGCACCCTGAGAGCGAAGAAGGGCTGCGTATTCGGTTGAGACGTCGAAAAGGGCGGCTGGAAATTTGTCGATACTTCCAAAGCCTTTTGACACAAGGTCTCTCTGGTAGGCTAGCACAGACCGAGAACTTCGAACTTGTTTGGTGACCCGTATCATTCGGGAGGACCATCTGACGTGAAAATGTCTTGTAGAATCCTAGATAGGGGGCGAGACTACGTGTCTCTCCTTGAGTAGACGATGAGGGGACGAGGAAAGCTGGACTTACAGGTGGTGCGGACCAAGGAGCCGTTGTAATATGAATGCTAGGACAAAAGTAAAAACCCACATGGTCCTGTCAGCACGACAAACTCACAACCTTCGGGAGTCATCCGAGTCAAGGCCTAGGCTAGTGTATACGAATAACGCCGATCTGCTCCCTTGACAACAAGCGGCCGCCGGCCCCGCAAAACTCCCGTTGACACGTTGAAGAGGATCAGGATCCAGCCTATCTGAGGCGTTTGTTATCAATTAATAATAAAGGCGCATGATTGAAGCTGTGCATGTAATATCGAGGTCACGGTTTGTCATCTAGAGGGCGCAAGGACAAGGATAGGCAAAGATCGGGCCGAAACCTCACAAAAGCTTCTATATTTATTAAGCTGTCACACGTAAGACGGTCAGACGCTTGTAAGCTACGAACACGGGCGTTCCTGGCTTAGCCAGTTCTTTATAATAATGATAAAACAACTTTCTACTCCAATCTTCGCCGGATACGGAAATGCCCATATTACTTTATTGCAAACTGTGCCCTCGGTCTTACAGTGTCGGCATGATATAGCATGTTCCTTGCATGCAGCACGAGCCACGTGCCGGCCAGCCGTCAGCATCAACCGAAACAAACAGTTTCCCAAGGCTCTCGTCATGTCCGTCATGGTATCTTGTATGCACTGGGGAGAACACAGCAAGTCAACGAAACGCATGCAGACTTCACGTGTCCTGTGCGTGACAAGCAGGTCAGTCAGAGTCCAAGATGGAACAGCGCAAGCTTCGGTATACGTAGTAAATAATGGCACGCCAATGTTCGAAGTTCGAACCCCTCATGGAAGCGGCTATGTGATATGGGCCACGCCAGGAAAAGGTGCATATGATCGGCGCATTGTAACGAATAGCGCCGACCTACGTGCGCATCAGCTTGTCACTTTGAGGCCTAGTGCCGCATGAGCCGCGCGCATCGCCTGCTGGCAGCTGGAGTCAACGGGGATCCTTTAGCTTCAGCCTTCACCCACGGAAAAGGCCCGCAACGAGGGGGTCGAGGATAAAAGAGAGGCCAGACCTGCATCCTTTGGGTTGAGGGAGCTCATGCATAGACAACGGAGACTGCACCACTACCTACATGTACATTGTTTGCAATGGCTGTCGAGAAGAAGTACGACTTTATCATTGTGGGAGGTGCGTATCATCACGAGTCAGTTTCATCGATAGGTCCAAACTAACCGCGATCAACAGCCGGTCCTGCGGGTTGCGCACTGGCGCGCAACCTAGCACTGGCGCCCCAGAAACCGTCAGTTCTGCTCTTGGAGGCGGGCGGTGACAATGCGGACCGAGACCTCCGCATTGACGGGAAGCGATGGATCACGTTCATGAAGGAGGAAATGAACTGGGGCTACAAGACATCCCCGCAAGAGCAATGCGGAGATCGCGAGATTGACTACTCGCGTGGCAAGGGGCTCGGTGGAAGCAGCGCCATCAACTTTGGCGTCTACACCGTGGGCGCCCGGGACGACTATGAAGAGTGGGCGCGCCTCACGGGCGATGACGCCTTCTCCTGGAGCAAGATGCAGGCAAGATTCAAGAGACTCGAGTCGTTCCATGGGGACACGCCCGATGGCATCGAGAAGAAGCACGTCGATCCAAAGCCCGAGGATCATGGCACAAACGGCCCTCTGCACGTCGGCTTTGCCAAACAGTGGGAAAAGGACATTGCGCCTATGCTGGACACCGTTGCAGAGGCGGGCTTTCCGCTGAACCCAGATCACAATTCTGGCAACCCAATCGGCATGGCAGCCATGATCAACTCGAGCCACAATGGGCTGCGTTCGACAGCGAAAGATCTTCTGACAGGCGTCCCCGACAACTTGACGATCCTGACGGGCTCCCCTGTCAGAAGGCTCCTATTGGAGGGCAACAGAGCCGTTGGGGTAGAAACCAGAGACAATAAGTGTGAGTTCAGTGATCTCGTTGGCATATAGTGACTGACAAGCGGGTAGTCTGGGCATCAAAAGAGGTCATCTTGTCCGCCGGAGCCCTCAACAACCCCAAGATTCTCATGCATTCTGGCATAGGCCCGTCCGACCAGTTGACCAAATACTCCATCCCTGTGGTCAAGGACGTACCGACCATCGGTCAAGGCCTGCGCGATCACATGTTCTGCCCTCTGGTATACACCTGCAAAGACGGGCACACCGACCGCGCCGAGTTCTACGGGAACCAGGCAGTCATGGACGAGGCGCTCGCACAATGGAAGGCCGATGGTACTGGTCCTTGGACCAAATTTGGCTGTGGGGGATGCATCGGATACTTCAAGATCCCCGGGCTGGCCGAGACCAAGGAATTCCAAGCGTTGCCGCCGGCAGAGAGGTCGTATCTCGAAAAGGAGACGGTGCCTCACTACGAGATGATCACGCACTTTCCCATCCACTGGTTCATGCCCAACTTTCCCTCGGACAGCCTCAACTGCTCCAGCGTCCTGGTGTTCTACGCCAACGCCCAGGCCAGGGGCGAGGTCACGCTGCAGTCGTCGGACCCAGATGCGCCTCTCCGGTTTGATCCCAAGTTCTTGGGCACAGAGTTTGACCGCCGCGTGGCCATTGGTAGTCTTCGTGAAGCTCTCAAGCTCGTCAAGCACGAGTCATATGCCAAGGACACCAAGGCGATGCTCGCAGGGCCTTCGGGAGACTCTGACGAGGAGCTGCTGGCCTACTGGCGTCAGACGATTTCTTCAAGCTGGCACATGACCGGCACTGTCAAGATGGGGAAGAAGGAGGATGAGGACGCTGCAGTGGACAGTGACTTTAGGTTCAAGGGTATCGAGGGATTGAGGGTTGCGGATATGAGTGTTGTGCCTGTCTTGGCCAGCTGCCACGTGCAGTCTGTGGCCTATGTGACGGGCATCACATGTGCGGAGAAGCTGATTGCCCAACACGGCTTGGCGTGAGGGCTTTAGTCGGCAGTCGGTAATCAAGCTTAAAATACCAAGTGAATCATGCAGGAACCCTCCAATGATGGATCGTTGGTCAGTGTGTGTAAGGGGAGGACCTGCCAGGTACGTTGAGGTCAGCACGAACATGCCTTGGGATACGCGTCACTGCCGAGGAAATACTGTTTCTGTATGGAAGGGATTGTCAGATTGTGGAATTTGCGAAGCACATAAAATATGAAATCAAATTCAAGCATGCTCGGTTTGTGATGGATGAGTTGATGTTTCTAACCACATTCATTCATTGATTGCCACTGTGTTGTCACAATTTGAATTGTATGAGAAGCTGTTCGAACGCTGAATGTTATAAGGACATGCCTTCAGCGTAAAACAAATTGCTCACTATTCAAATACGAGTTCATCGAGCAATCGGATTGGCGATAGGCAGCACTGAGTGTGTAAAGGGACGTGGTGGCTCAGTGCAGGGTAGTCAGAATCACCCCCAGCCAGTGTTGTCCGTTCACGTCGAAACGTCGATGGCGACAACCAACTTCACCATGACATGCAAGAGCCATCAGCTTCCACCCTGAACATCGGGGAAATGCTCCGCCCGGGAGGAATTTCACTTCATCAAATGGGCCATTTGCCCTGAAGCCACAGCTAGTGCAGCCCCTGGCGCTCAGTCTGGCGCGGATCTTCACTAGTTGTGCGACATGTCATCGTCATTGACTTTGATGTCATGATGAGACCCAACAACGCCGTCATGGAAAGGATTACCCGCCTCGAAAAGCTGTGAGATCATAACCCGGACCTGTCCTCCGCAGCAAGAAGGTAGCTTCTCTTGGGGTTTCACGTTCACAATTGACCTTTCTAACCTCCCCAGAAACTCTTTTCCCCTACAATCACGACCAATTCACATTTTCACACTCTCGAGAAGTTGCAATCATGCTCAAGCCACGCTTCCAATCCAAGCACATGGCCCGTCTCACCATACCGGCCATCGCGACGACTGGCTTCATCGGAAGCTATCTTTACTACCGCACCCCAGCCAAGTCTGCTGAGCCCGACGCGGCGGGAGGCCAAGCTGCACGCTCCCGCCAAAAGCGCGACAAGGAAGGTCTCTCCGGCACGGGCATTGGCCAGAACACCACATCTGGCGGCCACGAGACTGGACAGCCCGGCAGTGGAATCCAAGAGGCTACCAGCGATGCGGAACGCGCCGTGAACACCACAGCCAACAAGGAGGATCTCCCCTCAGGCGGTGTGGGAGGAGGACCTGGCGGTGGCCAGGCCAACACTAGGTCTGTCGAGATGAGCGCGAGCGAAGGTGGTGCATCAGGAAGCGGGTGGTTTGAGCGGTCGACAGGCGGCAGGACCAAGGATGACCTGGAGAGCACGAACCTGAGCGGCGACAACAAGAGCAGTGGTGGTAACAATAACAATGGCGGCAATGGTAGCTCATCATCGCGCCAATCTGGCACCAACGCTGCCTCCAGTGATGGAACCACTGGCGGCACAAACCAGCCCAACAAGGGTGTCGACTCCGGTTACGTCTCGCGCCCCCCGGCATCCACGCCAGCTTCGAACGCCCAGAACGCAAAGGTCGAAGGCGAGGCGCCCCCACCAAGCCGCTCTGAGGACTACCAAGTCCACTCCAAGTCGTACCCAACCTCAGGCGCGGACCACAACCCAGCGCGTGGCACCATTGAGACTAGCGGTACGAGTATCTCGCAGAAGCTCCAGGGCGCGTTTGGCCAGGGAGGCAAGTCGTCGAGTGAGCAGGGCGAACAGCCACAGAGAAAGTTCTCCGACACCAAGGTGCACAGCAACCACGCGGAGACACCGACCAAGAGGGGACAGATGAGGAGCGACTCTTGAGGATCTCTCTCGACTGTGAGGCCGATTTGTGAAACGGGAGTCTGGCGACGCATGTATTGATTACGACTGGCATCAGGCGGCGAAAACAAATAGCATCGAATCAAGTCACTGCAGACGTGTGCAGTGGCGTCTGGGAGTAACATTGCAAACCATTGAGGCCATATGGGACTTGTCCGTCTGGAGTCAAGTCTGTGCATGTGAACTGTCGCTGGCGGCCAAGACTTTACACGGGGACTTTGTGCGCCCTAGGAATCAAGCGTGGGGTCGTAAGAATCATCTCTCGTGAGGAACGTAGTTGTCTGACATGATTGCTCATCGGTGAGCACGTCACTCTTTCACGTCTCAAAAGGCAGTGCGGTCCTCGTGAAGACAGTAGCCCGCTTAGTAATGCGCCACATCCACCACGCCGGGGCGGAACAACACCACGCCGCATCTCGAGATCGCATCAACCTGCATCACGACTCCCGTCGCGATTCCCCAAGAAATTTACGAGCTGACATTGCGCCCGCCAAAATGAAGCCCACAAGCCTCCTACTACGACGTTCGACATGGAAGGGCAAGTAGTTGATGCCTCCCCCGCAAGAAACTGAGCTAACCATGCTGCAGGGCCTAATCTCGTCCCGTACGGCCCTCGATCATCAACCCCCCGAACCGAACCGACTAACAAAAGGATGTAGTCTCCCGATCAAATGGCCAACGTCTCGCAAAGACAAGGTACCCGCTGTCCGGACAATGGCCCGCGCCGCGACGATTCTCCCCAACTTTGTCGGTCTGCACTTTGAGGTGCACAACGGCAAGGACTACAATCGCGTAGAGGTCACAGAGGACATGGTTGGACACAAGCTCGGAGAGTTCTCGCCGTATGTCGCATCGTCACCACACACTATCGCTTCCCGCTAACAAGCCGTAGGACGCGAAGAGGTATTCAACGAGACAGGTGGAGGGGCACCAAATGATGGGGTTCTCGTGTGTATCATATGTTGTATCATCACCGGGGGGACAATGCATTGGCGAATATCCATCTTGTTTGCTTGGTTTTTTTTTGGCGACGCTATTCTTTTGCTGCCGCTGTGTGCATATCTCCACTACGCAGTGGCCCGATGCTTCTAATCATGCCATGCATGGTCCGACACATTCCACCGGAACGCCAATGTGTGAAAGATGTAACCCCGAAACGCCGTGCAGTAAATCATGTCCATCGGATGTGGTTCTCATCCGATCTACCTACGTAGCCTAGCGGTAGAACTCGCTCCTCTTCACGTTCACGCCGTACTCGCCAACAGCCATGCCGAGATCCTCCATCGTCAGCACGGTACGGTTTTGGCTCCCGCCCTGGCCGCCACCGCCGTAGCCGGGCCTTTGGATACCCAGCGGAGCACCGCCCGATCCCGTCGCGCCTTTGCCATCTTTCCCAGCCGCGGGCGCCACGCCAGGCTGCCCCCCGCCGGCCTGTTGACCCGGCACGGGGAAGCCAGCGGCCGCGCCGAGGTTGCCCATGGGGTTGTTCTGGTTCGTGTTGGATGCGCGGATGCGCGAGTACTGGTAGGCGTCGGCGGCGACGTCGGCAATGAACTTTTGCGTCGCCAGGGCGAGCAGACGGGCGAGTTTGGGATCGGTCTGCGGTGGGGGTGGAAGGCCGGCCTTTGTCATGTAGTAGTGTGTGACAGCGTCGGGAATCTGATTCAAGTCAGCCATTCTGACGCGCCTTAGCAGGAGAGGGTGCAAGACTCACAATGGGCGCATAGTCGTCGATCCTGTGAAGCAGTTCGCGCAACGAGACGTCCTTGCGTGTAGGCACGCGGTCAGGTGCCGGTGCAACGGGGTCCTCCTCAGCTGCCGGCTCCTCGGTCTTCATCTGGGTGTCTGTGACCTCTGGCGCAGGTACAGACTGCTGTTCAATTGGTGGAGGAGCTTCGGACGCCATTTTGAGAAGATGTGCTGATGGCGATGTGTGAGGTGGTTGATGGACAGTAGCCAGCGATGCCTCACGTTCGCTACGATGGGAATTGATCACGTGACTGCCTACCTTCAAGCATTCGGTCTCAACGGAGCTCAATGCGCCCCGGAAGGTAATCGCAATTGAATTAACTGAAGCCAGTTGTCTCGTATGTCATCTTAATAGTGTGCGAGTGGGATCTGCAAATTGAAGCATGGCCTCAGCACGCACAGCACCTCGGCGGTTCAGTCAAATCAACCAACATGACCATGCGCCGTGAAACAACTGCATTACGTCCTATGGCAGATCAATCGTCTCTATTTCGCGCACCCGGTATCTAGCCCTCGCATTTTGATACACGCTGCAATGCAGCAGCCCATGAACACGCCGCGCTGCGGCTCGACCTCCCCAAACGCCGTATTGATGCATCCTCCGAAGTAGGCTTGGCCTGCCTTGACTGGGTTTGGCGTTTCCTCCGTGTGTGTTTTGCAGGAAAGCGGACACGGACGCCTCAATGAAGCTGTATCCTGCTTTCGCCATCGTCTCGATTCTTGCTCCTTAAACAGGCAGCTTGAACTTCTTGCCCTTGAGCACGCGCGTATAGTACACGTAGAAGAAATCGCTGTACAGAACGGTCTGGATCAGCCCTGCGATAATGGCGATCCAGTCGGGCTTGTGGTTCGGCTCGGTGAAGTAGCGGTAGATCCAGTTGGGAATGTACAGCGCGCGGTAGCTGCCGAGAGCGAAGAGATAGTGCGTGGTGATGGTCTCGGCCTCGCCGGTGCGCTGGAGCATAAAGAGCTGGGGCAGGATGGCCACGGCCTCGAGCCAGATGGAGAAGGCCCAGGAGATCTCTGCAAAAGTGTATTTGTAGGGGAATAGAATGGCCATGACGAGGGCGCCTCCAAGGAGGTATTGGACTTTGAAGGTGTCCACGTTGGGGTCGTTGGTTGGCTTGTATGCGTTGGTCATGAGGTAGATGATGTAGCCCTGGGCGCCGATGAAGAGGATCTTGAAGATGAGGTTGTAGATGCTGTTAGTGTAGAAGAGATCTACCAAGTCAGCAGACGCTCTCGAGTGTGGCGTATGGAAGGCTCCTACCAAGATATCTCGTCACGTAGACAAAGAGATATAGGGCTTGCGATTTGAAGGAGATGCCAGAACAGCTCTGCCCTTGTTAGCCTAATCCCACGCCAGCAAGCCAATGCTACGCACGTTCAGCTGCACCATCTTGTGCAGCAGAATCAGGATGCTCCCCAGATGGGAGAAATCCGCTGCGTCCCATCAGTACACGTGTCGCTCAAGTCCTGTTGCGGTGTCTGACCTGCGAGGCGAAAGACGTTGGGCATTGTGACGTCGTTGTAGCGGTTTCCGATGTTTGTTTTTCCGTAATGGCCGTCGCGCCCGAATTGACGTTACTCGTGCGCTCGTGGCGTTGAAATCGTGACAGAGGCTAGTGTGATGCGACAATTGAATTCGGGAAGACGTGGCGTCGTGAAATCGTCGAGGTGGTCGCTGTCCTCTTGTTGATGTTTCTTAGCTGCTCCGAAGGGATCGACTACGGAGCTTGCTTGGCGACCTCGAAAAAGGACACGACGCGATTCGCAGCTGATTGGTGGGTTGGCGGGCTACGGGGCTGCTACACCTCAGTCAGTATCCCTTGCTGTACGTAGTACGGTACGTATTTTCGACATTCACGTGATATGACGTAGAGTAGTGTGATACGGAGTACGGAGTACAGCGAAAGAGGCATGGGCTTACTATTGATAATTGCCAGATTGTCTCGCGCGTTTCGAGAAGTGATGGTACATGACAGATGGACGCGGAATCATGTTCCGAGTAATAACGTTGAGCTAGCTCTTGCCACTATTTCCATTGCCTTTGCGAGCAGCGAACTCGGTCTTGCAAGCGTGATGTGTAAGCTGAGGCTAGAGTGGCGCAGTTGAGGCTGCGGCTGATGCGTCCGTGCCAAAGCCGTCGGCGGCTGGCAATCCCGTCCTGAATCAGGTCGTGACGCATTACAAAGCAAGTCTTCGCGAGGATTCGTCGTCGTCCATCCTGCCTGGCAGCCGTCATTATTCAGGACCTTGTATCATATATAAGCCCAGGAACGCTCCCCCGCTGTCTGACCGGACCCTGGGTCTGACGCAATATCAAGAACCTTAATTCGGCTTCAGTTTTCGAACCTTTCGAAGCGTATATCGACAACGCTCATCACAACATCCACTCTACCCGCACATCACTATCTCAGCTGCATGCTTTGTGGATCGTCGCCACTGAGACACTGCATCTTCGCAGCGACCCCCATGGCCGAAGACAGGGCCCCAGACGTGGGCAGCGAGGCGGACGACGACAACACATTTACCATCCACGTCAGCTTCCGCAAACAAGTATACGACTATGAATTCGACCACGACGCCGTCGTCACAGAGCTGCTCGACACTCTCGAGGAATCACTCGACATACCCGTGCAGAACCAGAAGATCATCGTGCCGGGCGCACCGCTGGTGACGTGGAAGACAAAGAACCCACAGCAGCCCCTGTCCGACTGGGCTGGCAAGAAGCTCATGCTGATCGGGTCGAATCTCAAGACAAGCATGGCGGTGGAGGCCATGTGCGCGCGCGTGGCCAAGATCAACGCCGCCAAGGCCGCCCAGCGCCGAAAGAGCAAGGCGCCGAAGAAGACGAGACCCAGTGCCGAGTCGTCACAGTATACCTTTACGCAGGTTCGACCGCTGAACAACCTGCCGAGACCGGAAAAGAGCCAGATGCTGCTAATGCGGCTGAAGAACGACCCGGGGATCAAGCGGACCATGGCCAAGCACAAGTTCACCGTGGCCTTGCTGACGGAGATGGAGCCGTTGGCCAACACGCAGTCGAATCATGAGGGCACGTCGCGCATCCTGGGACTGAACCGCAACAAGGGTGAGGTGATTGAGCTTCGGCTGCGCACGGATGCGCACGACGGGTACCGCGACTACAAGGTGATCCGGAATACTCTTTGCCATGAGCTGGCGCACAATGTGCACAGCGACCACGACCGCAACTTCTGGGACCTATGCCATCAGATTGAGCGCGAGGTCGCCTCAGCCGACTGGAAGCATGGTGGCCAGACCCTCGACGAGACCTCCGTGTACCATAGGAACGGTGCTGTGGAGGAGGAAGAGGAGGCACATCCCGACGATCACGGCGGTTGGGAGGGAGGCGAGTTCACACTGGGCGGCGTTAGAGACGACGAGGCGGGCATGAGTCGGAGGGAGATTTTGGCTCGCGCGGCGATGCAACGACAGAAGAAGGACGACCAGTCGGAGCGCGAGGCCGATAAGGGGTGGCGCCCGTGCCAACGACCACGTCCAAACGAGGAGGCTGAGTAAGGGGGTGAAGTTGCATTTCTGTCTGGGACGGGCATAGCGAACGGGGTCATTCATCATGGGAGCGTCCTTAGGATTACAGGGAGTTGCATTGCCATTCGCAGCGAGACTATTACGACTTATGAATACAGTATCGGATAATGAATTATATAACAGTCTTGATTACCATCCTGCTGAAAAATGTCCCTTCCACTCAATACGGCAGTGGTTCCATGTCGAGTCCTTCCACGGTAAGCTTGAAGACGTCGTTCCGGGAGTAGCTCCCACCCGCGTCAAGATCGAGGCGGCCCTGGATACATTTCTGAAAATCGACATCGGCGTAGATCATACCCTCATCGTCCTCCCACTGCGGTCCAGCAAGGACCTCGCCAAAGGGGTCGACGATGCACGAGCCCCCTCGGCAGGACCAGGTCGGCTTGTCCGTGACCGCCGTGTCATCGACCTTGGTGGGCGCGGCTGTTGTCGTAGTCGCGACGCCATTCTCGTCGACAGGGCAGCTCAGCACAATCTCATTGCCGTCCGGGTCAAAGATCGACTTTCTGCGCCGCCGACTGCGGCTGGGCGAACCACTCTTGGGTAGTGCAATATCCATGCCGGGTTCATCAGCAGAGCAACTGAACCTCCGCCCCCCGTCACGCACCGCAGAAGCAGGACGTCCGTTTGTCGAAGCGTGAGAGTCCTGTCCGCCGCGCACGGCCATGTTGCTGCTCACAACGAAACACCGGCCTTCCACCCCGATGGAGCGCATCAAGCTCAGCCACGCGTCTCTCGCGTCAGCCGTCGGGGCAAGATACAAGTTGATGTTCTGATTATACAGCGACTGGCGAAGAAGCGGCATGTAGGACTCCCAGCAGATGGCGGCGGCAAGGTTGATGCGCGTGCCGCGGATGACAGTGCTTACAGCGCGCAGCGTGGAGGGCGAGGCCTGAGCCCAGATGAGGCGCTCCGTGCCGGTCTGCTCGTTAGCTATGCTTTCTTTGAGAGGAAATTGAAGATACATACTGGCATCACCTTTCTGCGCTTGCCAATGACACCCTTGTGCGGACACACGTAGACGACGGCGCAGTACAGGCTCCCACCGGTCCTCTCCACGAGTCCAGTCACGAGAAAGACACCCGTCTCACACGCGATCCTCTCGAGTTTCTCCCTCGTCCCGTCGCCGCGATACTCCTCGCCCTCGGGCACCTGGAGCTGTCGCTTCACCCAGCGATCGCCCGCGCCCGCACCGCCATCACCTACGACATCGCCCAAGTTGACGGCAGCTTGGAAGTACTTGGCGTAGGCCTCTCTGCCCTGGGCGGAGCGTGAGCCGACGACGGAGCCAAAGTCACTACCGCGGGGGTAGCCGCCTAGGAAAGCTTCCGGGAGGAGGAGGATGTCAATGTGGTTGGAGGCCGCGCGTGTGGCGAGACGATCGACCAGCTGGAGGGTCTCGGCCGTGGTGGCCTGCGTGGCGGGTGACGCTGTGCCGAGACGTATGGAAGACATGACGCTGAATGTCAGTTAGATGAAGTAAGTATGTGAGAGGAAGTGTGCGTCACTGAGGGGAAGATGGGCGTAAGAAGGTTCAAGTTCTGGACTCTCACTAATAATACCAGCGGGTCAAACTTTAGGTTAAGCTACCCCAGAATGGACCCCCGCAAACGGTGCTGGATATCGCGGGATTAGCGGAACTGAGAGTGACAGGTCACAGAAGAAGGCCACAGCGGGATTAGACAGACACGAGTCAACAATGTGAAGAATTAAGTATTGTATTAAGTATTTTCCGGTAACCAAGTAGACAATGTGCCACCCTGTGGCAACGCCGTGCGCCTGTAGCAACTAGACAAGCAACGCTCGCTGGTGTGAAGACCCCATCCATTATCATGACACCGTGCCGGGGCACGGAATGATTAAAATTATTAGTGCGCCGTCGCCGCCAGGCTGGCCTCGACGTCGACGAGGATCTTGACGTGGTTGTCCTTGTCGTTGACGAGCGACATGAAGCCCTCGTCCACAATCTCGCCCAGCTTGATAGTCTTTGTGATCATGCCAGAAGGCTCCATCTTGCCGTCGGAGATGGTCTGGATGACCTCTTCAAAGTCGCCGAGCGCAAAGGTGGCACTGTGAAAAAGTAGTCAGTAAACAATTTTCATGAGTTTCTGCAGAAGGATACTCACACGCCCAGGTACGACCTCTCGCGGAAGACGAGCTCGTTCATGTTCAGCTGCGCCCTCTTCTCCCAGACGGCAATGTTGACGAGCGTGGCGCGCGCGCTGAGGGCCTCAAAGGCTGTGTCGATGGCGTACTGCGAGCCAGCGGCGTCAAAGCCGACGTCAGCGCCCTGGCCGTCCGTCAACTTGAGGACCTCCTCGACGACGTCTTGCGAGAGCGGGTCGAGGACGTGGTGTGCGCCAAACTGGGTGGCAAAGGCTCTCCTCTTGCCAGAGACCTCGCTGACGATGATGTTCTTGCAGCCACGGCCGACGAGGGCCTGGACGACAGCCAGACCAATGGGTCCACCGCCAATGACAAAGGCCGAGTCGCCATCCTTGTAAGGGGACATTTTGATAGAGTGCCAGCCGACAGACAGAGGCTCGACGAGGGCGCCGACCTCGAGGGGCACGTTGTCGGGCAGGAGCTTGACGCAGGACGAGGGGACGACGGTGGACTCACACAGGCCACCGCCCCAGCCGCTGAGGCCGACGAAGCCATTCTGGTCGCAGCAGTTGACGAGGCCGCGCTTGCAGGAGCGGCAGTCGCCGTCGTAGATGATGGGCTGGACACAGACGCGGTCGCCCTTCTTGACGGTCGTCACGTCGTCGGCGACCTCCTCGACGATACCGGAGAACTCGTGGCCGAGGGTGAGGGGCGATGTCTCGCCGGTGATGGGGTGGGGCTTGCCGGGCTTGGGAATGAGGTTGTTGCCGCCGAGGAACTCGTGGACGTCGGTGCCGCAGATGCCGCAGAACTTGGGGGCGATGCGGACGGAGCCCGGGCGCAGGTCTGGCCGGTCAATGGTCTCGAGGCGGACGTCGCGCTGGCCGTGGTAGCGTACTGCCTGCATGGTGGTGGATTGCGGCATGGAACCCATTGTGAGCAGAGGAGAGGAGGGAGAGTTGATTGACGGAGGAGAGGTCCCTTATAAGATCGATGGGTAGTAGTGGAAAGTACAGTAGGTATGTAGTAAGGTTGCGTGAGGGGGCGCAAGTGTCTGGAGAGATGGTGTGAAGGAAGATGAGGGGGAAGCAAGAGAGCAGAGCAGAGCAGCGAGCCCCCCTTAATAAAGGAGAGCGAGACGGGACGAGCCCACGATGTCTCCTCAGTCCGTCAGTCTGTCTGTCTGTCTGTCGCTTGGAACAAACTGATCGGCTTTCCCTCTGAGAACAGACCGGCTTCCAGACGTTCACGATGCCCAGGCATGCCCAGGCGGGCTGGCCATGGGGATTGAAGAATGGGCTTGTCCGGCTTCCCTGATGCGCTCTAGCGGCGGATTGCCCGTCTGGGTGAAGCGCGAGCGACTGGAGCGAGCGTGGGGGAATTTCTCACCATCACGAGATCGTAATGGATGGGGTCGCTCCGCTGCCGGGGCGGGGAGCGACCGGTCCAGACGGGATGGCGGGTCGCCTGCGCCTCGAGGCTCCATCGAAGCGCAGGGTTCGCTGCGACGCTCCAGGGGTTGGTCGAGCTTATTATTAGTCCTCGTTGCGATGGGAATGCCGGTCTGGTCTCCGTGGAGTTGGCCTGGAACTGTACCCAGCTAGAGCGACGAGGCACGCTCATTATACGCTGGCAAACGATATAAAGGAGAGACATACCCACTCGATGGAGAAGTCATTCGGACGCGCACGGTTTTTCTGGCTCTTCACCGACGTTTGCGCTGCGCTCGTGCGAGATTGCGCGTGGGTTCTCTCATCAGCTCCAGTCCTCCCACCAGCTCATGTCCTCGCTGCCTGCTGGGCCAACAAGTTTCTGCCAGCAAGGAGGCGACTGGACGTCGCGTTGACAGCATTGTGCGGTCACCGCAATCACAGTGTCCGCCACAGCGATCCAAGGCCTGATCAGGACGTGCAAAGTCGCTGATCGACTCGATCCGATGAATTGGAAATCTGTGGGGAGCTGACGAGTCCGCATTCAACAGATCCTGGTGGCAGGTCAGGTGGTCGTCGAGACCGTCGGGTCGCCGCCAGAATTTCCGTCCTGGGAAAAACCGAGCATCGTGGGCAGCACCACTGCAGCAGAGGGGGGGGGGCTCCTTCCTTGGGGTTCTTCATTGGGGGGGCCTAGTTCTAGGAGCAGAGCGTCCGTGTGACACTGCCACGCATTACGCGCAACTGACGTCCCCGTCGGACATGAAATGCACAATTCCAGTCCGATGGGCGGCTGGTCAGTCACTTTGATCACGATCAGAGATTTTGACAGCTTTCCGCAAGAATCTCATTGCTGTGTGTGCCAGACATTCGAGCAATCATGGGGTTTCGGAAGGGTCCTCGCCAGCGCCAGCGCCAGGCAGCTCCCGCGCACAGACCACCAGAACCCCTCATCTGCTGCCGCGCCTGCTCTGCTGGCAGACCACTCGCTTCACTCACCATCATCACTCAGTCGCAATCTTCAAATTCCATGCTCAAATCGCAAAGCAGCTCGACTATTCTTCATGCCGCACGTGGAATCCAATGTAACACTGCTGACTGCAACCGTCGCATTGCACCCTGCGTCCCGTCCCCGTGGGGAAGCAGAGGAAACCACCGAAAAGCGCGCATTAGCGGGCCTGCCCAGCGACCAGGGCGGGGTTTCTGTCGATTGACTCGATGCCCTCTCACTCTCTGGAGAAGCGAGCACGTTGCGGGGATATGGCAGCTGCAGCGCAGTGTGCCTTGCATTGGTGCTTTATGTCTAGTACTGACTTCTATCTACGCGCATTCACTGACCTACTGTATACGCAGCAATAGACCCAATTCATATCCTCGCCCACACCGTCGTCCACCCAACCTTCGCCTGCCGACACGCAATCAGACACAGGCACCCCGCCACCACCGCCGCGCCCGCGTACATCTGCGCACCCAGATAGCTCCCGTCCATGGTCTGGATCAGCAGCCCCTGGATTGGCGACCCAGAGAGACCTCCAAAGCTCGCAATCGTGAGCACCATGCCCGTCCACGTCCCGATCTTGTGCGGGTCGTCGCACTGCTGCGTCGCCAGCGCGGGCAGAACAGACTGCATACCACCGGCAAAGATCCCGTAGACCACAATCCACACGTAGAGACCCGTGACGGACGAGATGGCCGGCCACGCGAGGATGCACGCCGCGCAGACGATGGAGAGAAAAATGCTCATGTTCATGATGCCCACGACACGCTCCCCGAGCAGGTTCGGCAGGGTCCGCCCCACGACACCCACGCCGTTGAGTACGATGACTAGGTTCTGCGTGCTGGCCAGGTCCAGCCTCTCGCGGGCAAACAGGCCCAGGTAGAAGAAGGCGCACCAGAGGCCTGAGCTGTGCAGGAAGAAGGCGAGCGAGAAGAAGACAAAGGGCTTCTGCGTAAAGGCCGTCCAGTCGACGAGCGGGCCCACGGAACCTTTGGGGTTGAATTGACGATAGAGCAGCAGCCCGGGGATGTTGGTGACCAGCATGATCAAAGCGACGACGCGCATCGTCCACGGATAGCCGAGCGAGGTGCCCAGGAGGCTGCTCACCGTCGCCGGGTACACCATGCCCCCCGTGGCCGCGCCGGCGGCGGCCAGGCCGACGGCAAAGTTGCGCTTGCGCTGAAAGTACGAGCTCGTCACCGACAGGCCCGACGTGAACATGAGCCCGCCCCCGAGCCCGAGGCACACGCCCTGGCTCAGCAGGATCTGCCAGTACGTCTTGGCAAACGACGCCGCGACGACGCCGGCCACCTCGAGGATGACGCCCGCGGTGAAGGTGTGGCGGAAGTACCCGGCGTCGCTGGCGCGGCCGGCGCCGACACCCACGAAGAAGAGCAGAAACATGGGCACGGCGCCGATCCAGGACACGCCGCTCGGCCCCACGCCCAGCGTCTCGGTGTAGTATTGCTGAAAGGTGCCGTACGAGTTGGTGACGCCCCAGGTGTTGAAGAAGACCATGTGGCCGAGGAAGACGTGCAGCCAGGCCTGCCGGCCGCCGTCGGGGGGTGTCTTGCTCTTGGGCGCTGGGTCCACCAGCTTCTCCGGGTCTGGGTCTGTGGTGGAGGACGGGGTCTCCTTTTCGAAAAGGGGTCGCCCTTCGCCTGGTGGCGGTAGCGGCTCGCTGTTGGGGTGCGCCATTGTCTGCCAATGTGTCTGTCTATGTAACGGAGAATTATTTCACTGAGCATGAGCAGCAGCAGCACCTGGGCCCATTGCACCTCAAGTATCATTCGCAAGAGCTCAGGGGCCCTGGCATTGCTGACGATGCTGCGTGAGCATGCTGCGTACGCGCAGCCTTAGTGCCGCAACATCCGCAATAAGCGTCGCTCGGCTGTCGGTTCCGAGGCCGCTGGTCGCAGCGTCCTGTTTGCGTTGGGCCTAGCGCGTGGACATTGCGGGATTGACGCTCCTTGGCACCAAATGCCAGTAAGCTCATCAATTAGAAAAGTCGCTCTCCAATGAATGACAAGGATTAATTATTTCTCAATTAAGCAAAAAGCAACGCTGATTCTATATACATAGGTACGCATAGGTAATTGATCTGCAACCCCCGGCACCTCTGCACCGCTGTGTCTGGGTACGTGTCGCGCCAGCACTTGGTCGACATGCAGACTGCCAGGCCAGCAGGTAGCTCTCTCAAAGCCAAGATGCGCCAGCGCATCTTACTCTTACGCATGAGCGCTCTTTCTTGGCCCTCCGCCCAGCCAGCCTTGTCTCACCCCGACACATACCCCCGGGAGATGTACTCTGACGTCTCAACGAGCGGCATGTGCCCAAACATGGCGACATAGCTATTGATACACACATGTCTGGCCTCGAGGTGCCCCGGCTTGGTGCTGATACCCGCGGGGGGCGCCTCGTTGGTGGGCCTGTGGAGGCCGCTGACCTGGAGCGGGCCCTCGCAGGTGAGCATGCTGGTGACAAAGTTCATGGCAATGTCCTCGCAATTAAAGTGCTCGTCGACATATTCGCGGACGCGGGTCATGAGCGGATCCTCGCTCGAGTAGTAGTCGAGAAAGGCCATGTGGACAAAGGACAGTCCGGTGAGGACCATGGAGTAGGCCTCGTGGCCCTTGCACCAGCCGTACTGCCACTCGCCACTCTCCGGGTTCTGATCGACGCAGCGGGCAAAGGCGCCGGTGAGGCGGTTCCGGCCGTGGGCGCGCCACTGCTGGAAGACAAAGTCGAGGTCGGCGGCGTCGTAGTGGACGTCGTCGTCGGAGAGGAGGACGGCCTGGGTCTGGAAGCCGGCGTCCGGGAGGAGCTTCTGGTTGAGGCTGTTGGCGGTGGACATGCGGTGGCGGACGGTGACGTTGTGGTCCGAGGTGAAGTCGGGCGGGGTGGGCGTCTCGAGGTCGTTCCAGATGATGACGATTTCGTGCAGGGACGGGATTTCGGGGGCGAGCAGGAGGTCCAGCGTGGCCTTGAGCTGGTCGGGGCGACGGTACGTCTGGATGGCGATGCTGTTGTTGTCAGGGGATTTTATTACTCATTCAAAGCAAGTTGGGGACCTACGTGAACTTGTCGTCCATGAGGTGGTTGTACCGGACGGTGGCCTTGTTCCAAATGTCCATGGACGAAATGTTGTAGCGCGGGCTGCAGTCTGGTGTCTCGTGCGGCGCCACCTTGTCGTCGAGCCTGGCGAATGTCGGCGGGCCATGGTAGTCGAGCTGCGAGAGCAGGTAGAGGCCGACGATGGACATGACGGAGGCGAGCGCGACGTAGAGCCCTGTCCTGGAGATCCTCCGCAGGCGACCGCCCACAATGGTGGCCATGCTCCTCTTGCTGGCGTCGTAGACGGGGAGGTCTGACCAGCCGTCCTCGGGCGACTTGGCGGTGTCCATGCTCGGTTCTTTGCGCGGGTCTGTCTGGTGAAGCGGATGGAGAGAGTGTCCGAGGTGAAGGATAGCGAGTGCGGTGCAACGTCGAGGGTATTGAAAGAGCGCGGGTATCAAAAAGAGCGAGCGAGGGCGACTAGTCCGTATTCAAGGTCAAATGGGTAACGTTGCTTGCAGACGAAATAACCCAAAAAAAAAAAAAAAAAAAAAAAAAAAAAAAAAAAAAGCCTCTCTTCTGGAATGGAATTATGTAAAGGCCAGGCAGGGGTGGAGGACGTGCGGTTTATACTTTTCGTACTGAAGACGGCAAATTCGATATGTACAGAATATTAATATTATTTTAGTAACCCCCCCTGAACAAGATGCGGCTTCGGCGCCATGTTTGAGTTCCGTCTTTGAACTGGGAGGCCGCAGGGGGTCGTGTGACGGCGTGTGGGGTGCCACTTGATTTGATTTTTTCACATCCTTCAGGCTGCAGCCTTCAACAACGTGCGAGCCGTCTGCCGTCAGACAGACAGACTTTCTTCCCTTTTCTGGCCCTGTGCTTGGAATGCCGGGTGGAATGCAGAGGGCGACATGAACGGCAGCTGAGTCCTGACGACGCAAACGTCGGAGACGGAGAATGAAGGCTGGCTCTAGCCTCTCCATCTCTGCGTGCGTTCGAGACACAGAGTTTATGAGTAGAGCTGGCTGGGACGCTGGCTGGCAGGAAATGACAAGCTTTCCGGGACAAGGATGTTGTTGAGGGAGGCTCCAGAGATGCCGCATTCAGCGCGCGACACGGGCGCTGGTTGGCCTGTCTGCCCTGTCTGTCTGCGGACCCGCATGAGGCCCCCCCTGGAGAAGTATGGGGATATTTACGTAAAGTTTGGACGCTGAGACGGTCGTGGCAATGAAACGTGCGCCAGCCTCGAGGTGCTGGATTGGATGGCTGTCCTGACGTGGATGGAAAATGAAGAATAGGGAGGGACATGGAGGGAGATGAGCCTGTTGCACCATCGAGATAGAATTCTCCTCCTCCCGTCATTCTCTGCTGCCAGTGAGTCTCCAGAGCTCGACATGTTTTCGTGATTTTTTTTCTTTGCCTTGATATCCCCTTCAGTCCTTTCTTGGTGGGAGACGATCCTCCTCGCCGTCCATTCCTTAGTCGCTCCACCAACCTTTTGCTGTTGCTTTCGCTTTTCCGCAAACGGCCTGTCGCTTGCAGCGCTGCCGCGTTCGACTGTCGCCTACTTGTGCTCCAATGTGCTCGCCTTTCTTAATCCAATCTTGACGAAACATCACCATCCATCTGATCATGGCAGCATACGAGCGTCTGCCCACGTCGGAGAAGACGCCGCCGCCGCCACCGCCCTCGCGGATAGGGCCCAAGGTACAGGTGGCGCTGTACATGATGTGAGTGCCATCCATCTGTCAGCTCTGCATGATACAGTTACACCGCATGGACGACTAATCACGGGGGCATCGCTCAACAGCGCCTGGACAGTGTCCTCCAACTCGACCATTCTCTTCAACAAATGGATCATTGACAACTCCGGTTTCCGTGAGCTTCCAAATTCTATGAGATCTTCAACGACTAGGCTAACACCCCAGGCTATCGTGTGTGCCCAGAAAGCTTGTCCGCCGCCAAGGCCACCCCCATGCTGACCATGCGCAGCCATCCTCTTAACCTTCTGGCACCTCTTGTTCGCCGCCATTGTGACGCAGATCCTCGCGCGCACGACGACGCTCCTCGACAGCCGCCATGACCTGCCCATCAGCCGGCGGTTCTACCTACGCACCATCCTGCCCATCGGTCTCGCGTCGTCAGGCTCCCTCGTGCTAGGCAACTTTGTCTACCTCTTCCTGTCCGTGTCCTTTATCCAGATGCTCAAGGCGTCAGCACCGGGCATCGTCCTCCTCGCCTCCTGGCTCTGGGGTCTCGCGAGCCCGTCATGCGGCCAGATTGTCAACATCCTCTGCATCATGGTCGGTGTCGCCATGGCCAGCGCCGGCGCGCTCGACTTTTCATGGGTCGGCGTCCTCTTTCAGGCTGGCTCGCTCGTCTTTGAGGCTGTGCGCGTCGTCATGATCCAGGCTATGCTCAGCGGCCGCGACATGGCCATGGATCCCCTCGTCGGATTGTACTACTACGCCCCCGTCTGCGCGGCTATGAACTTGGCGATTGCCTGCGTCGTTGAGCTGCCACACTTTGAGATCCAGGATCTGGAGAGGGTTGGCTGGCCGCTGCTGCTGCTGAGTGGCGTCGTTGCTTTTATGCTCAGCTTCACGAGCATGACTCTCATTGGGAGGACGTCTGGTCTCGTGACGAATCTGACGGGTATCTTTAAGAACATTCTTCTTGTGGCTTTCTCCACCGTCGTCTGGCACACGCCGCTCTCGACCCTGCAGGTCGTCGGGTACAGCATCAGCACGAGTAGCATCCTGTACTACGCCTTTGGGGGCGACGTGGGTTCGGGAGGGTACGAGGCGGCCAAGAACTGGTGGGCGGCAGCGGGCACGGGGGACAGGTTTCTCTTCTCGCCCGAGAAGAACAGACTGCATTTGAAAGTGTGCATGGGCGTCGTCATGGGGTTATTTGGGCTGTCGAGTTTGTACCTGTTTACTTCGTATCATCGAGAGTAACATCAATACGAAGTGCTGTGAAGAGAGAAAGGAAAATTGGTCACTTTCTGGACTCACGATACCGTGTAGGACGTCTTGATGTAAAATGATACGGACGGTGATTTAGATGTACCGGGTAGGTAGACAGCTGCGCAGACGGACGGACTATGGAGGAGCACGGAAGGAGTGCGAACCGGGGGCTGGCCTGATGCTGTTGGAAGTAAGTGTATGTACAATTGGCACCAATGCCTAGCAGCCTTTCGTTACAGACTGATTCCAAAAGGTGTGTCAAGTGCACTGAAGTAGGTCTTTATGGCGTGGCGGTTAATATATCAGTCTTGCTGTGAGTGCCTTTGAGGCACTTGGAAATCAAATCACGGAAACTGCTGTGGGGACTGTCTCCTTTTTATATTCCTCAAGTCCATTGACGACGCTGCTGCGCTGAAGATGCAGACGCAGCATGACCCCACATACAGCAGCGGCACGAACCGAACGAAGCCGGCGCGTCCGTTGCCGACATCTCACATCACATCACCCACTCATCACCCACTCATCACCTCCTAAGGTACTCTTGACCTCACCCAGACCATCTCACCCAGCTCACCGTCTCAATCTATCCATCGCCCCCTCTCATGGACAACTCGCCCTCTGCGGGCGACGACCCCCCCGTCAAGCGCCGCCGTCGCGCGCGCAAGGCCTGCAACCCGTGTCGCGACCGCAAGCGCAAATGCGACGGCCGCGAGCCGTGCGCGACGTGCGTCCAGTGGGAGTACGACTGCTACTACGGCGAGCGCAGCACGGCGGGCTCGCACGCGACGTCGCCCTACGACAGCGCCAAGGGCCGCGCGCGCCACGAGGAGGCGGATGGCTGGCCTCCTGGCCCTCGCCCAGGACTACGACTCGGACCCGGACCAGGACCAGGACAAGGTCTAGCACAAGGACCAGGACCACAAAGACAGCAGCAGCAGCAGCAGCGCAACTTTGACCCCGTCCGCGACAGCGAGGCCACCAACGACAACCACGTCCAGTCCCTCGAGGCCAACTCGGGTGCCGCCTTTGTGCGCCGCCTGGGCCTCAACATTGACCCCAAGAACGCGCCGCGCCTGCGACTCTTCGCGTGGAACACGGGCGAGCGCCTCGCTGGGTACCCGCCCGGCGTGGTCCGCCCCATCACGAGCATACTCTCGCAGGCGGCCATGGTCGAGCTGTCGCAGGTCTACTTTCAAAAGTTTACAGTGGTCTACGACGTCATCTACCGCGACGTCTTCCTCGACCGTCTCCAGCAGCGCTGGGCGAGTGGCGCGCCCCAGGACCCCCTCGACCAGGTGCTCTGCGGCGTGGCCATGCTCGGCCTCTGCTTCTCGCAGACCACGGCCGCCCCTTTTGAGCCGGACCTGGTCGAGACGGGGCGGACCCTCCTCGAGCACTTCTCCCTCTCGTCGCCGCCGTCCATCGACACCGTCATCGGCTGGATCCTCCGCGTGGCCTACCTACGCATCACGGCCACGCCGCATGTCGCCTGGCTCGCGAGCTGCTCCCTCATGCACGTCTGCGAGGCCGCCCAGATCCACCTCGAGGTACGCTCCCAGACCGTCTTTGACGAGTCATCGGAGCTCGTCTCGCTCGACATTCGACGCCGCATCTGGGCCATGGCCCAGCACCTCAACATCTGGCCCTCGTACGACCTCGGCCGAACACGCATCAAACTGCCGCACGCCACCACCCAGCCCGTCGCCCCCATCGACGGCGACTTCACCTCCCACATGCTCGCCCTCGTGCCCCTGACCGAGGTCCTCGATCCCCACCAGCCGCGCTCCGTCGAGGACCTCGAGTCGGACTTTTCCCAGATTGGCGACAGGGACTACCCCGAGCCCGCCATGACCATGGCCGTCACCAACCTCGCCATCTGCACGTTCCGCCGCCTGCGCGCCCAAAAGGCCACCATCCAGCCTGGCCACGTCGACAAGATGCTGTCCCTGAGCGCGCGCGGTCTGCACGCCGCCCGTCGCATGGTCGCCACCCACTGCCCCTGGCACCACGCCGCCAACATGCCCTTTCAGATACTCTGTTTGTGTCTTGCCGTCGACACGCGCGCCTCCCTGGCCATGGTGCGCAACGCGCTGTCCGTGCTCGGCGAGGTGCGCGACGCCTGGAACAGCGCCGTCCTCCGCGAGGCCTACGACACGGCCTACCTACTGATCCTGCTGCACCAGCGCAGAAAGGAGGAGGACTGCGGCCAGCTGCGCGCCGCGCTCGAGATGCACGCTCCCTCGGACGGGGCGCCGCCGATTGTACAGCCGAGCAGCAGCCACCAGGACGCCAATGCCAACAGCGAGGCCATCTGGCTGGACGACCTGTTTACCAATGTGCCGGGTCTGCGCGAGTTTGACATGGATCAGTTCCTCGAAGATGATCCCTTCAACATGCAGGATCTGGGGTTTGGGGGGGCTGCCTAGGCGCAAGGCAAGGATGGACTGCCATGGTGTATTCCGGGTAGGTCGGCGCAGTACTTGGCAGCTAGAATGCTGGTAGCAGCTTCAGTACTGCCACCCTCATTCATCCGCTCCATTGAGCTTAAAGAGGCTCCGCATCCTTAACCCGCACGCACCGCCGAGCAATTGCCGTTCTCGGCAGTCGGAGCATGCACACCGCGGGAACGGAGGCTCTCTGTCCTGCCCGATGCGACGCTACTGTGGGGGAGGCAGCTCTGGGGTATCTATAAGATCGAGAGGGTCCTGGACACCCACTCTTGTCGATGGTAGGCTTTTCCCATCCCAACATGAAACCCCAGTCTGTCCTCCCTCTGGCCTGCGTGCTGCGCTGCGCCGCCGCGGCCGCGGTGCACCCGTGCCGGGCGGACTCGTTCACCAACCCCGTCGTCTACGAGGACTACCCGGACAACGACGTCTCGCTCGGTCCCGACGGCGCCTACTACCTCTCCGCGTCCAACTTCCACTACTCGCCCGGCGCGCCCATCCTGCGCTCCCAGGACCTCGTCAACTGGGAGGCCATTGGCCACTCGGTGCCCCGTCTCGACTTTGGCGGTGGCTACGACCTGCCCCCGAGTGGTGAGCGCGCGTACCGCGGTGGCACCTGGGCGTCGACGATGCGCTACCGCGAGAGCAACGGGCTCTGGTACTGGATCGGATGCACCAACTTTTGGAACACGTGGGTCTTCACCGCGCCCGACGTGACGGGGCCGTGGGAGAAGGTCTCGCAGATGGAGGGCGGTCTCTGCTTCTACGACAATGGTCTCCTCATTGACGATGACGACACCATGTACGTCGTCTACGGCTCCGGCACCGTCAGCGTCGCGCAATTGGACGAGCAAGGCCTGCTGCCCGTCCGCACCGAGGTCGTCTTCACGGCCGACGACGCCAACGTCGACTCCATCGAGGGCAACAGAATGTACAAGATCAACGGTCTGTACTACGTCCTCAACGACCGCCCCGGCGGTACCACCATCATCTGGAAGTCTGAGAGCCCCTTTGGTCCCTACGAGCACAAGGTCCTCGTCGAGAACGTCGCGGCCCCCGTCGAGGGCGGCGGCTCACCGCACCAGGGCAGCCTCATCGAGACCCCCGAGGGCGACTGGTACTTTATGTCCTTTACCTGGGCGTACCCGGCCGGGCGCCTGCCGGTCCTCGCCCCCGTCACATGGGGCGACGACGGCTTCCCCGTCTTCGTGACGGGCGACAATGGCGGCTGGGGCGCGACGTACCCCATGCCACTCCCCGAGGTGCCGACGCCCGACTGGCTGCGCACGTACACGTTCGAGGGTCCCGATCTCGAGCCGACTTTTGAATGGAACCACAACCCAGACGTGTCCTCGTACGAGGTCAACAATGGCGTCACGCTGACCACGGCCACGGTGACAGAGGACATTTACTCGGCGCGCAACACGCTGACGCACCGTATCCATGGGGAGTTCCCCGTGGGGACCGTGGAGATTGACTTTTCCAACATGCACGATGGTGACCGCGCTGGGTTTGCCGCCTTCCGCGATCAGTCTGCCTACATTGGCATTCATCGCGACGGGGATACGTACACGCTCACAGCGAAGCACGGCATGATCATGGACGAGTGGTCGTCCGAGCCCGTCTCGCCGGGTAGCATTGTGGCCGAGGAGGCGCTGCCGTCGGATACAACGCGTATCTGGTTCCGGCAGGAAATGGATGCGCGCGCGAGTGGTACGCGAGACTGCAATTTCTCGTACAGTCTGGACGGGGAGACGTTTGAGACGTTTGGGCCGACGTATGAGTTGTACGACGGCTGGGCGTGGTTCATTGCGTATAGGTTTGGGATCTTTAACTTTGCGACCAAGGCGATGGGGGGGTCTATTGAGGTGAAGTCGTTGGTGGTGGCGTAGATGGAGGATTGTAACATGATCTTGACGGTGGCCTTGATGGTGGCCCCGCAATTAACCACTTCAATCCTCTCTTGTCCCAATATGGAATAGCGTACACGGGCCGTGCCTTAAAGGCTAAATACGAAAACGGATTAGCGTGAGTGTGCGTCAATATGCGCTTGTGAAATGCTTCGAGGAGTCTTGATTGTCTTTGGCTTTGCGTTGAGAAGTACACGCCTTCAGAGCCGGGGCTGACCGTTGTGCTCTTATTTGGCACATTAATCTGTGGTGTACACTCATTACAGCAGCCAAAAACAGTGTGGACAGCTGCATCATGAACTGGACATGGGCTATCGGTCTCATGACCTTTCTGAAGCAGACGTGCTTCTAGGCGGCTCACGAGAAGCTCGGTCCTTCACTTCATACCCGTGGCATGGCCTTGTGTCAAAATGGCACGCAGGTCTTGTGGCGTTTAGACAAAAACGTTTGTGCAATATGAATCCAGGACACACTGATCCCCGAACCGTCACTTCTCCGCGTCGAAAATCACCTTTTGCGCCTTCATCTTGTCAAACAAGTCGTACCCCTCCACAGCATCGCTCAGTGGCATGATCGTATCCGTCATGAAGCTGCCACACAAGTCAGTCTAGTAATCGTCCTGTAGAACACTCCACCTACCCGAACAAATGCTGCTTCTTCTCGAGAAGCTCCAGCGCCTCGGGGAACAGACCTATCACCAAGTCAGCCACATGCATCGCAAACCCTTCCAAGCCAACCTACTCCTCACAGGGCATCGGCCCATTTTAATCGTCAGATTCTTCCCATACGCCTGGTTCCCCGTCCACGGAATCTCCCCATTGTGCACGCCCACGCTAGAAATCGTGCCCCAGGGCCGCAGAAGCTGAAAGCCCAGGTCGAGCGCCGAGCTGTGCCCGACCACCTCGATGACCACGTCGGCGCCACGACCGTCCGTCAGCTCGCGCACCCGCGCTTCAAGTTCATCCCTTTGCGTCTGGTAGTTCCATGGCTCAGCGCCAAGGTCCTTTGCCTGCGCGAGACGAGACGCCACGCCATCCACAGCCAGCAGGGCCTTTGGCTGGTACTCGAGCGCAGCGACTAGTGCACAGAGACCGACGGGTCCGCAGCCGAACAGCACCACGACGTTGTCCCTGGCTCTCTGGGCTGGCATGTCACCAAGCCCAGCTTTGGCGGCATGGTACCCTGTGGGGAAGATGTCCGCCATCAGACACAGCTTCTTCTCGTCAATTCCAGCCGGTGCCTTGACCGCTGTCGTCTCGGCCAGGGGCACGCGGACATACTCAGCCTGCCCGCCGTCGAGCGCAGACGTTCCATAGAGGAGGCAGCGCTCGCAGCGTGACGAGTACCCCTGCTGGCAGTAGAAGCACTGTCCGCAGCTGATGGTGAACGGGGACACGAGTAGGTCGCCCGGCTGGAAGGACGTGACAGCCGACCCGACGGCGTGCACCGTCCCCGTGAACTCGTGGCCCATGATGAACCCCGTGGGGGACTTTTGATGGCCGCGAAAGACGTGCAGCTCGCTGCCGCAGAGCGCTGTGTACTTGACCTTGACGATGACGTCGGTAGGTTCCTGGATGGTCGGCTGGGGTCGGTCTTCGACGGCGACCTGGCCGACGCCTTTGAATACGACGGCGCGCATGTTGGCGGTTGATGTGGGCTATACAATATGAGGTGTGTTGTTAAGGAAAAGTGTAGCAGCGCAAGGAGGATGAAGCGCTTGGTGGCTCATCTGTCCCGCGCAGCTCGGACCGTACCTCGGCGCACTGCTGCCCCACCCGCCGTTCTCGCTCCTCGGCCTCCTCGGATTCACCTTTCCACGGAACCGACAATATGAGATGCATCGATTGTGATGAATAGAGCCTTTTGTTTTTGTCTCACCAGGATCAGCGTACAAGAGATGAGTTAAACAGATGTCTGTCCCAGGTTGATCCGAGCCCCAGATCTGGCCAAAACCCCCCCCACGCCTACAGGACTTGGGCGAGTACACCTTCTCACCCAGTTTTTGGCGACTGAAGATTCAATAGAAGACGGGAGCTGTTACTTTAGACCGCATGACGAGGTCATCCCCTGCGTACGTGTGTTCAGCCTCCACCCTGCTCTCAGCGTCAGAGACAATGCTGCTTGTATCTGTTCCCAGGAGCACCAGCCCAAGTCTAATGGGCAATTAAGACTCAGTAACCATCAGTCGATCAATTCCACCGCCTCATTCCGCTCAGAAGGCTAGGAGCCTCGGTCTGGCCCTGGAGATGCGGGGGTTATTTCCAGCTTCCCCGGACTCTCTCCGCATTGCTCCCCGCATTTATTCGAGCTTGGCCCTCCATCTTGTCCAAGGGCCATGAACGAATTATCCCGGGCTTCTACTTTCAGTCCTTCATACCTCCCTTGCCTGCCGGTCCTACACACCAGGTGCTCAATTCGCCATGTCCACATCTCACGTCTTTCGCTCGAGTCATCCTGACATTGACCGTAAGTCAGCCGCATCCGCCCAAACGCCATTGCTCACCATACCCAGTTCCCAAGGATGTCTCCCTATGGTCATGGATATTTGAAGCCCCGCACTCATCGTTAAGCCGAGCTGGTCGCAACGAAATCCAGGGATGGACGGACGTCTCGACCGGACAGCACCTCAGCTACCAAGACGTCAAGGACCTCACATCCCACCTCTCCACCGCCCTCACACAGCAGCGCAATCTCCAGCCGGGCGACGCCATTGTCGTATTCGCCCGCAACACCGTATGGTACCCCGTCGTCATGTTCGGCGCCGTCCGCGCGGGCGCCATTGGCTGCGGCTGCTCGCCCGACTACAACGTCGAGGAACTGGCCTACGCCCTGACGGCGAGCAAGGCCAAGTTCGTCGTCACCACTAGCGACCAGCTTAACGTTGCGGAACCTGCCGCGGCCAAGGCCGGCATTGACCCAGCGAACATCCTCCTCCTCGACGAAGCAGCCACCCACAGGTCACGATCCATCCACCACCTCATCGCCTCTGTTCGGGGCAAACCCCCGACCGAACCGTTCAGAATCCCCAAGAACAAGACGAATGCCCAGATTTGCGGGTACTACGGCTTCAGCAGCGGAACAACAGGCCTCCCCAAGGCCGTCATGATCTCCCACGCCAACGTCATGGCGCAGTGTCTCCAGGTCATGCAGCTCACGCCCACCGACCACCGACGCATTCTCGCCGCCCTGCCCTTCTACCACATCACAGGCGTCGTGCACCAGCTCCACCTCCCCGTCGTCCTCAACGCGCACGTCTATATCCTCCCCACGTTCACCATGGAGGACATGCTCGCCACTGTGGAGCGGTACAAGATCAAGGAGATTCTTCTTGTCCCGCCCATCATCGTCCGCATGGTGCGCGAAGACGCCCTTCTCAAGAAGTATGATTTGCGCCACGTCGAGCGCTTCTCGTCTGGTGCTGCCCCCTTGTCGCAGGAGATCCTCTCGTTGCTGGAGAAGCAGTTCCCCGGTACAGGCTTCAAGCAGGGCTACGGCATGACAGAGTCGTGCTCGTGCATTACTGCGCATCCCCCGGATAAGTACGCGTACCGCTACGCTGCGCGCGTCGGCAGCGTCGTTGCCTCGACAGAGGTCCTCGTCGTGGACCCGGACACGGGACGACGCTGTGGTGTTGGTGAGGCGGGTGAGATCTGGGCGCGCGGGCCACAGATCACCATGGGGTATCTCAACAATGAGAAGGCGACGAGGGAGACGTACGATGCCGATGGGTTTCTTCACACGGGCGACATTGGCTGCTTTGACGAAGAGGGGATGCTGTCCATCACGGACCGCTTGAAGGAGATGGTCAAGGTCAAGGGGATTGGTGTTGCGCCAGCCGAGTTGGAGGACCTCCTCCTGGGTCATCCGGCCGTGGATGACTGTGCGGTGATTGGAATCGCGGACGAGCGCGCTGGCGAGAGGCCAAAGGCCTTTGTGGTGCTGGCCAAGGGATACGCTGGGCGTGAGGAGGATATCGGCCGCGAGCTGCTGTCCTTTGTGCGGGAGAAGAAGACCAGGCACAAGTGGATGAAGGAGGTTGAGTTTGTCAGTGCCATACCGAAGAGTCCGGCTGGCAAGATATTGAGGAAGATTCTGAGGCAGAAGGGGAGGCCGGTAGGTACAGTTGTGCGAGAACATGCACCAGCAGCAAAGCTGTGAGTGCGGTTGATAGAGGGATATAGATGTAACAATTCTCAGCTTCAAATATACCAGCCCCTCGATAACCACAACCTCAAACAGATCGATGCCCGGTACTTGAATCTCCCCATCCTCGACCTCCAGTGCCTGTTTCCCCTTGAGTGTATAAGCACGCACAGCCTCCCCGCCACCCCTAAGCTTGATACTTCCAGCTGGCAACGGCACATGCTGCCCAAAGTTTTGGTACCGAATGCCAGACATATTAATTAAGTGTATGATCGTTATTGCCGCTCGTGTTGACGGTCACCTCCATCTGGGGAGCAAAGTTGAACGGTAACGGTTCTTCCGCACCGACCTCGAAAAGAACTAACTCAAAAAGATCGCGAAACACGCTGAGGCCGGTCTCCCGGTAGCCCCATCCCACAGGAGCCGTGAAGAGCACAGCCTTTCCCTTGCCGTATGATCCAATTCCAACAGCGCGCTCGTCGATTTGGATATTGCCGTAGATGTACTCGGGCGGCGCAAACGGCGCATAGCCGAGCTCTTTGAAGAGACCCGTGGAGCCATTCTTCCACTCATAGGTCCTGTACGATCCGAGCATTTAGATGATGGGGCCGTCGTAGTAGTGCGCCTCTGTGCGATTCTGCTCGGGAGCAAAGTATCTAGATCACAGCTCCTGCGTGTCTGTTATATTCTCCCTCATTTTGGAAGCCGGAAGGGACTGAAGCTGAGGTACGTCGTTATCATCCGTGCGAATGGCGCCCGTCACGATGACTGTGCCCTCAGTAGCGACCCATGTGTCCAGGGCCTCGGCATCCTCGTCGTACAGACTGCCGATTCTGGGGAGAACGATGACTCGATACCGACCCAGATCGCCCGTCTCAGCCATGTCCACGATATACCGATGGTCGACAATATCAAAAGGCATGTGCAGCTCCTGCATAGCCTTGTACAATCCCTTGTACTCTGACAGCGCCTCAGTCTGATAATGCGGCTCACCGACCTGCGAACCCGGTGGCATAACGAGAGCTGTCAACGCGGACGACGGCATGCCAGAGTACACGTCCGCGTTAGCCCTATGGAAGCGGATGATCTCACCAGCCTGCTCAAAGCCCGGGCAGGGTATCGTGCTAGGCACGCCAATGATGTACGTCGACGGGTTAGCGCCCCTCGAGATGGCCTGCACATGATATTGCGCAAAGTGGTGCGGGTCTTCCGAGGTGATGCGGTACGCATGGTCGAGGAACGACGCGCAGTTAACAAGGACGGGTGTATCTGGACGCTCTGACTTGAGTCGAATGACCGTCTCCGACGTGGCGTGATGCCATATCTCACGATGAATCGCATTGTTGGCCTCGTAGAAGAGAATGTCTGAGCTCGCGCCCAGGATGAGGCCGGCATGCGGTAACTTTTGGGCAATAAAGTTTCGGACGCGTCTCGTCCACTCGTCCATCACCCCGTCGCTCCACGTCTTCCACTCGCGGTAGTTGGCGTCCTCGGGCCCGTATGGAAGCTCCTTGCCATTTTTGTGCTCATCCCAGGCTTTTTTGCAGCTGGCGCAGTGACAAACGCCATGGTACACGTGGAAGTAGTCGTTCTCATTAAAACCAGCCCAGTTGACGAAGAAGCCATCCAGATCGTACCAGTCTGTGATCTCATCCAGGATATCGAATATACGCTCCTGATACCACGCGTCCGACGGGCAGACGGAGACCAGGTCGTTGGTGTGGTTCTGCCAAGTCCCGTTTGGCGAGATGTAGAGCCACTCGGGGTGTGCTTCAGCTACTTGACGCTGGACCTTGGAAAAGTCGACGCGCGCAAGGAGGCGTAGTCCTCGTGCTCTTGCGGCATCGAGGGAGTCCTGAACCAAGTCTCCGCTGGCACGGTCCTGGAGACGAGGGTTGATGATTTGGAAGTCGAGTTTCGTCGGATAGTTGGCGAGTATGCCGCCGACACTCTGCAGTCATGCTGTGGCACCATACTCTTGGATAAAGTCGGCGGTGGCATTGACGTCCATGTCCACGTCTATCTCTCGCAGGTTGATTTGGAACATGCCGAACGGCTTGTCGAACCAATTGGCGGTGTCGGTGCTGGCTGTCTGGACGGTGCCAGCCAGCAGTGAGAACAGCCTGATGGCAGTGAATAATCGCATCCTGTCTAGCTATGGACTGTCTTTGATTTGAAAAGTCATCAAAGAGGCAGCGGCGCGTTACCCCTCGTTTATATGCTAGTTGTCATGTTGAGCCTCGGGGATGCTCCCCGTACTCCTGGCCAGATGCAAGCGAGTGCCATTGTTCCAACAAGCACGATCGACATGATCCCCCCAACACGGACAGATATCAGCAACAGGCAATCCCATAATCCGAATACAGGGTCACGAGGCCAGAAGCGGTCGTCAGCCAACAAGGAATCAAAGACAGTCCAAAGATCGACCCAATTAAGATGTAATACTATCATCCCCGCGCTGCGATGCGGACGCACTCAACCTATTGTTCTCGAAAACTGGCAAGTGATCTGCGGATAGGCTTCCCCGCAAGCTTGATCCATGTTTTCCGCATGTTGTGCTGCTAGATAAGCGTGCTCAGTGCTCACACTGCGGGAATGCATCGATCTCTGTTCTTAACCTTAATTTTGCCTAGTCCAGTGTGCTTGGTGGGTGACATGGATGGCAAGCAGGGCACGCCACACAATGGTTTGCCAAGCTTATTGCTAGCATTATTCGTACTCGGTCAGGCACCTGAGCTCTCTATCACAGAGGGGTAAGGTGTCTGCCCTTTGCTCATGGCATATAAACTGAAAGCCAAGCGACCAGTATGAAAGAACAATCATGTACAATCTATTTCGGGTATATACAGTATCTCACCACACAAAAATAAAACCATTCTTCATATTAAAGACTCCCTCACAGGCCAAGCAAATTCAAAATCTTCTCTGCCCCCCTCTCCGCCGCCACCATGATGCCAAACTGAGGATTGACCGTCAGGGGCGACACAATCGACGCATCAACAACATGCACATTCTCCGTGCCGACGATTTTTGTATCACCATCCACACACGTCCCCAGTCGGCACGAGCTCGACCAGTGTTGCACAGCGCCGACGGCGTAGGCGGAAGGCGTCGTGATGTACTCGTAGATCTCATCCACCGTCGATGCCTGAGGGAGATTAAGCGGCGTCAAGCCATCCTCGGCAGGTGAGTCGGGTGTACTCGCCGGCAGAGACTGGAAGATGGAGTGGATAAAGGTGGCAATATCGTGGGCATCGCGCGGGTTGCTGTAGTAGACGTCCGAGCTGGGACCGGCAATGAACTTGCCGTCACTTGACAGGACGACTCGCCCGGTCGAGAGCATCCCCGATGTGCCGTACACATTGAGCGTGATGGTGTGGTTGTTGGTGAATTTTGAAAAGCCAGACGAGTCGATGGTGCCCTGCACACCCGTGCGTGATCCATCCTCGTGGTCGATGTAGCTCCAGAAGGCAGAAGTCTGCGACGCGAAAGTATACGGACCGGACCTGGAGCGCAGGAACTTGTCTTCGTCCTCCTGTGGGGGATCGGCGTAGCTGTATGTGTAGGACTCAATGCTAGGGCCGGAAAGCTCAATGAAGGTATTGGGGTTGTCAAACAGGCCTTGGCCGACATTCTCGTTAATCACCCACGACGAAGATTCGGTGTAAGGGGTATGTGAGGCAGCAGCCAGGTCAGAGAGAACATTCTTGGGCCCGATGCCAGAGTACATGAGCAGCTTGGGCGACAGGATCGCACCAGCGCTCGAGATGACCCGACCCGAGGGCGAGACTTTAATGTCCTTCTCTTGGTTATCGACCATGACATGGACGCCCGTAGCCTTACCACCTTTCTGGATGATGTAGTCGACAGCGGCCCCTGTCTGCAGGTGGAAGTTGCGGCGCTTCAGTGCTGACTGCAGATAAGTTCGTGTGGGACCACCACGCTGGCCATCAATGTAGTTATAGACGGGCCTTCCAAAGACATTTTCCTTCTCATCTGGCTGCTCGTCGAACGCGACTTCCTTGTACCCGGCTTTCTCCGTGAGCCACGCGCGGGCAGCCTCGTATCCGGTCTGGAGGTAGTAGTCCCCGTCAGCAGAGTACTGTGTGACAGGTGGCTGTCGCTGGACCAGCCGGTCAATGGCCGGCTGCACGTCCCGGCTATGCCAGCCTTCGGGGTGGTAGTCGTCCCAGTCCGAAGCGGGTGGCTGGAAGTAGAGGCCAGCATTGATGGCGCTGTTACCACCAGTGGCGCAGGCTTGGAGCGAGGAGACGATCTCGGGGCCGCAGGTGAGTTTTGTGTTGCCCTCAAAGATGCTCTTGTCTGCCAATGGTCAGCCACATGTCTTCTCGGCTTTCTCTGGCCACTTACATAGTCCAGGCACATCGACGCGGCTCATGTTTGTGTCTTTGAGCCAGTCTGGTCTCTCTGTCCCGACAGTGATGCCGTACGAAGGACCCCCTTGCTCGAGGAGCAATGTGGTCAATCCCGCCTCGCTCAGTCGATCAGCCACGATGATGCCGGCTGTCCCGGCTCCGACAACAATGGCATCCCATTCTCGCGTGGTCCAGTCGCCGCATCTCGAGATGCTCGTAGGCGCAGCCCAGGATTGGGTTAGAAGGAGGGCCGACACGGCAAGCGACGCAATTGACTTCATCGTGGACGGGGAATTGAGTGCTGAGTATGTGTGTGGTGCAGTGACATGGCGAGTTCACGCGAGTGATCCTCGCAGCTTATATGAATAACGCAGGGTAGAGGTCTTCGCACAACGCCAAGCTATAGGGCTCGCCGATGCGGGCTCACAATGTCATCTTTTCTCGAGAGGACCTTCGTCTTGGCCTGGGCTATGGCTTGCCAAGCGAAGAATAAGAGACACCCACACCCAAAAGAGGACCGACAGGAAATCCAAATGCTGACTTGCATGATCGTCATGTGTCTGCAGGAACGGCACTAGGGATCCGCCCGGGTGGGCGCTAAGATATTTCGGGGTCCTGCGACTCGGGGAAGGGCTGAGCAGTGAGCACCACCTCGTGTTGGTCTGCTAGTGATGGAGATTGTGGAGATGCCGCTTCATGCTTCCCCAAATAGCCCAAATTCCACGCCAAAGGCGGCCCAAGACGTCATACATGCCATGCCATGCTGAAGTGATTCAGATCGACGAGTGTGGCGCAAGAAGCAGCTGGGAGACTCATTGCAACTGGAAAGCAAGTATGTCCATTGAACAGCTCATGTACAAAAATATATATACCTGTGAAACCATAATCATTACACGAGGTCACTTACAACCTCAAAGGCTGTCCCCTCTTCGAATTTCTTGCCCTGCTGATGCTTCTGCAAAAGCCGTAGCGCATTGCGCCTCAGCACATCGTTTGTGAGCTTGTAGCCGCGCGGACTCGACCTCACAAAGGCTTCGTACTGCAGCACCAGCGCATCAATCGCATACTGAGCAGCATACGGGAAGTCGGACCCGAACAAAATCTTGTCCGGATCGGTAAAGTCGAGCAGCCCGTTCAGTTGCGCCGGGGTCGAACTGAGAGCCAGGTCGTGGTAGAATCTCTTAAAGCCTGCCGCCGCCTGGAGAATGTCGACTTGCACCTTGCTGCGCACTTCGGGAATGGCGAGGCTGCCTATGACGCGCGTGCCAATGTAGGGCAGTGTGCCTCCTGCATGAGACAGGATCACATCAACGTCCGGGACCTGGCCGAAGCGCCCCGACAGAACGAGGTCAACTGCCGCGCGGGTGGTTGCCAGCGGAAAATCGACAATGGGATCAGGCAGGGCTCCAGCAATGGAGCCTGGTTCACCCGGGAGGCTGGTGGGATGCACGAACACAAGGGCGTGGTAGTCGTTCAGGCGCTGCCAGATGGGCACAAAGTCGTCGTGGCTCAGGAGTTGTCCGCCATACGAGGTGGACGCCGAGACTCCATGCGCCAGTTGCTGCGTCTCGTACAGGTAGTCAATTTCCGCGAGAGTGCCGTTGACATCGCGCCAGTCCGGCAAGGCACCGAAGAAGCCAAGTCTCTCAGAAATATTGCTCTCTGTTGTCGCGTTGCCAAAGTAGTCATTAACGTCACGCGCCAAGGTGCGAGCCTCCATGCCTGTTCCAGCAATGGCGACACCGGGCACGGAAAGTGAAAGAATGCCTGCATTAGAAGTCTTGTTAGCCAAAGATGGTCTTGAAAGAGTATCCGCCAGTCACTCACTAATCGACGTTCCCACTTTGTTCATTGACGATAATGATTGCTCCAGGGACCACGAGGGCATCGGATACCCAGTCGGCTCCCCGCCGTTCGCCTCCATCGCCTCGAGATACATTGGCGGCAGCGCGTGGTGGTGTGTGTCGACGCGCCAGCTGGACGTGCTCCTGGTCATCACCAGCATGGCCAAAGCCGCGCTGAAAATCTTCGACATGGAGAACGACTTGAAGAGGAACAGCAGGAGCACGGTCGGGAAGGCCGCCAGGAAGCCCGTCAGCACACTCTTCCATATGCTCGCCTGGGAGACATGGCTGCGGCTGTAGGTTTCTTCCTCTTTACGAGGAGGAGTGAGCGACTCGCGGGTGGCCAGGCCCTTGCTGGCACTGAATGGGACGGGCATGGCCTGGTGTTTGTTGGCCGGCCGGCCTGGCTGCCTGGCTGCCACCTGGTCGATGTGGGAGGATCGGATCGGATCTGCACGCAAGCTACCGCAAAGTGGCTTGGGTGTCTGACCACATTTGAGATCTGAATCCTTCGGGCGCAAATCGCACTGCAGATGGCGGGTCCCGGGGTCCAAAAGTGGTTTCTTCGAACTTGCAATGGCGCGGCCGCGATATTTCAAACCCGTGAGCGATTGCAACGAGCGACAAGGCCAGGGAACATCTCGAGTCCAATTCAATTGAGGGTGTCGAGAGGGGAAAGTTGAGGGCTGCAGAAGTCGCCTCCTCTAGCGGTCGAACGAGGCAAGAGCTTGATGTGTCATCAACCAAAGAGGGAGCCCGCTACTGCCAATGTGGGTGAGTCTAGACTCTAGAGCGTATGGATGATGTCACGACTTGAGAAGGGCAGTAATCGCTTGTCTTGGCCTGGGGCAAGCGCCATACTTGGCTGCGCACTCCCATCTGGTGGGAGAATACAAATTCAATATCGCAACCCAAGTGATTCTGAGAGTGAAGCTAGTCGTGATCCTTCCTACCTATGTGACCAACGCCAGGGACCCGGGCCATTGGGGAGCGAGCGGGCGAATCGCAGTACACCGGTTGGGACAGATCACCCGCGCACAGATGCAGGGACCATCCTTCCATTGACGATTGTGCACCAACGAACCCCTGATCGATCGTGACAGAAAACAGCCCCCATCCAGGGGCCGGGGATAATTAGATGGCATCCTCCGAAACGGTCGAGGCGGATCTGCATAGGGAATAATTATTATTTCCAGACTAATTGTCAGCAAACCGCACGTCTAAGCAAAACATTGCCATCAGCATCACGCATGGCGTCCAGTATACCAGAGTATATCACCTACCCTGTACTTTACCTCAACATTGCTTGGACTCGGCTTTTGGAGGGAATAGGTCAAATTGGACAGATAAAAGTGTTTCTTAACAGTCGCACACATTGAAGATGTAAATAAAATCACCAGGTTATCTACACTTTTGAGGATGTTTAGATTGTGCGTCCCAGCATTATCACAAACGCAATAAATCTCCTCAAATAGACAATGCACACAACTCAGCCTGGCATTACAACTATCTGATAGCACAGACGTTCAGGGTATTTGAAAAGTCGCTGAACCGCTCATAACAGACGCCCTTCAACCCAAGACACCCTTCTTACCGTCACCATCAGCGTCAACGCGGGGGTCAAGTCTCTCCCTGAGTGAGGGCTTGTGGCGCTCGCCAGTGGCAGAAGTGCCGGACGTAGTTCCACCCAGGTTCTCCCCCGTGCGCGGCTGTCCGACGCGTTAGCAATCTTTCTCAGGCTCAATGCAAATTAACTCACAGTTCGGTCCGCGGCGGAAGCACCAGCAGCACCAGACGAGGAGGTGCCAGCCAAGCCAGCCTCCCGGCTCGTCGTGTATTCGCCGCCACCGCCGCCAGTGGACGAAGTCAGGTGCTGGTGGGAGTGACCGCTGCCGAGGGCGGAGGTGGGCAGCTCGCGATCCTTGTTGTAAGGGCCGGGGCAACCCTCGTACTCGCGGGTGACGTGCATGTTCTCGCCCTGAAAGGTACCGCCGCCGGCCTGGAACTCCTCGAGGGTCTTGACGGGGAGGGTGGTGACCTCGTGGTGGACGGGGGCGGCGTGGTGCGTCTCGTGGATGGGGACGGTCTTGTGCACGACGTGGGGTGCAATGGTCTCCTTCTGGATCACGGGCTGGATGTGCTCGTGGACGTGGTGGTGAACGCGCTCGCCCGTGATGGCCGGGGCCATGGTGGTCGAGTGCGTCGTCTCGTGGGTGACGCTGGAGCTGGAGAAGGCGGCGCGCTCCTGCTCGAGCTTCTGGCGCTCCTGGGCCTCGTTGCTGTGCTCAAACGTCTTGTGCACCGTGGGCTCCATAATGTGCTCAGACGTCTCGGCCAGCGTCTCCTTGGCCTTGACCGGCTGGATGCGGGTCTGATGGTGGTCCTGGTGGACCTCACGGTCAACGGCCGTGGTGACCGTCTCGTGCTCATGAGGCTTGACGTGCTCCTCGGTCACGGCGGCGTTGACATCTTGGTCCACGGTGGTCTTGTGCTTGCCATCCTTGGAGAGGAAGCTAGCAGCGGCGGCCTTTGCTTTCTGCATGATGAGTGTGTGTTCTTTTGGTTGATTTGATATATGTTGTGGTGAGTCGTTGTAGGTGAAGGAGGAGAGTTTCGAGTTGTTGTCTCTGCAAGGATGCTTCGGTGATGATGGTCGAATGGCTTGGTCTAGATCTTTCTACTCCCAAGCGAGCAACAGCTGGCCCCTATATAGATCCCCGAGACGACTTACCCAGGCCTCCCGGGCACCCGCCTGTCGTGAGCCTTAAGCAAGTGTCAGCCTCTCCCACGTCATACGATGAGCTCAACGTCACTCGATGATCTCACCCAGACCGTCAGCTTAGCTGTCATCAACAGGCCATGGCCTCACGCAGCTGCTCTCTTGTGGTGCTACCAGCTTGCAATGGGCTGAGACGGAATGGCAATGATGGTAAGAGCAAACCCTATTCCATGCTCCCGCACATAGTCGGGGTTCCCACCATCACCCTGCCTTGCTTGCCAGATCGCCCACCGCAGCTCTTGGTGCGAAGAAACCAGTGCAGCTCCGCCGACTAGGGGAAGCCCGCCGAAACCCAAAACGCCGTACTTTGCGTCACTTGGCATTTTGATTCACAGCGGCGATCTGGGCAGTTCGAGGGCATCGCGGGATGGCGGTGGGGGTTCCCGGCTTGGGTCTTGGTTGGATTGGATCAGACCTGATCTGCCGGAAGCTTGGCCAGCAGCTTGGGCTTGGCTTCTAAGTATCAATCACTTGGTGGGGCGGCCATCGTTCTCATCATGTGCAAAGGAACTCGGGCAAAGAGGTTTGCTGCGTCGGTGATTAATTCGGCACGGGAGGGAGGGAGGGGCTGAAACCATATGCTGGATGAGAACAGCGTGATGAAAGCGGCGGCTCTCACTTGGGGCTCTCAGGCTCTTAGCGCATTACCACTCGGTTGCAAGCACGCGAATGTACGAAGAGTGCCAGTGAGACAATGGTCGATGCCGTAGCACAATGAGAGGATGAATTGTTCGTTGATGCATTCAATCGCGATGAGCCCTGTTTGTGGTGAGGATTGAGGACTGGAAGCTCAGTAATCGGCTCCTCAGAGTGGGGCGAGGCGGCAGTCCTCACTAGCCGGATCACCATCTATCGTTAGGTCAAGCAATAGCTCCGATCAAAGAGGCCATCGTCATTCAGGGTCCAGAACTGGGAAAAGCCGGAATCCCAACGTTGCGGGGAGCTTCGTCAATTTGTCGCTACGAGTACGGAGCATTGTCGCCGGCAGCTGGACAGGACGAGGACGAACGCCCATGTTCAATTGGCGTAAATGTAGAAGAAAAGAATGATGAAACATAAAAGAACTGCGAAAAATGAAGGATATTTCGACTAGCCCAATTGACCTCGAGTAGACTGAAAGGCAAAAAAGAAACTGCTGAGCAGCTGGCGGATCTCTCCCGCCGGGAATTGAACCCGGGTCTCAAGCGTGACAAGCTTGCATACTGACCACTATACTACGGAAGATGAGCGATTGTGAACAACCGTTGTAGTGAGGCGTTGTGGAAATAGGGCTGGTCTTTCATATTATATACTTGACGCTCAACGGCATATTCACCGCGCTGAGCTCACCTAGCACAGCTTCTCCTCTCCTGTCTCCCCTCTTCTTCTTTCTAGCTCTTGTATAAAGCACTCTGGTAACCCCCATGTTTCAAGCCGATTGTAATCGTTCGTACTCACGGTTTCACGGCAGCGGCGCTGTTTCTACAACTGAAGGCGATCTGATGCTACGACAACCTTCTCCATACTCAAAAACCCGTGTGTCCAGCAGCCGAGTATAACCTAGCTTTAAATACTAGGTTCTAGCATTATAAAACCTGGGTTCTAAAATCAAGGAAAAGACTTATTACTATACCATGAAGCGCATCTGAAATCGCAAAGCTTGAGATCTTGCTTGGCGCCGTCCACAAGGAAGTTGTCCGGGCGGAGATCGCCCTGTCAGATACCATGTTGATGTATACACACAGCCGACTCTATCTATGGCCTGGAGCAACCACTTGCTGCGGAGTTCTGATGAAATCTGGTTGTTGTGTTCATCGAGCATACGCTGAAGGCTAGTGGTAGCCACAGAGAAGAGCCATCCGGAGGGAAACTCAAGCTGGCGACCTAGGAACCTGTGGAACCGTTAGGCAGGCATCGAGAATACAGCAAAGGGGCTACTATACCTGACGATTCGGGGATGGTCTCCTAAACGTTCCCACACACGCTGTTCCACTCGAAATTTCGCCAAGACGCTCGGCCGTGGTTCTATTGTCTGATCCGCATATACTTTGACAGGAGCTTTCAGAACCACTCCAGGTCGGACTCGGAAGAACACAGCTGTCGAGCCAAAGTAGCCTTTGCTGGAGAGATTCACAAGACCTAGTCACTGCTACTTTCTGTGGAGCAGGTGTCTCATGAAATTGTATACTTTCGCCGTCTTGTGAACGACGTAGCGCCAGCAGCGGACCCAAAAGGGCGGGGGACGGTTATCTGTGATGGACGACATCTTCCGTTGTCGGTGAAAAGATGCTTTGGAGTTTGAAAGTGGCTGTCCCTGCAAGGTGTGAAGAATGAAGATGCCCAATGGTTACACCAGGTTTCGAGAAAGCCTACACCGTCGCATAGGTACCCATGCAGGGCACTAAACTCCTCCGTGCTCGAAACATGAGGCGCTGTGGCAATGGCTCTGCTTTTCCAGTCTATAGACCTACACCCGCAAAGAGGAAGCATCAACGCCCGGGCCTCAGTAGGCATCTATGATACACCACAACCGATTGCCTCGTCATGCCACGTTATCATTATTCTGCCGCCTCTATCATCCCTCCGTGGTATCCATCCCGTCATTCTGAGCCCCCGTCGCTGTGGTGCTCACCAGCTTGTCCCGGGCCGCCTGCACCCTCTCCTCCTTCCACCTCTGAATCTTCTCCTTCAGCTCCGGCTGCGGAATCGCGTCATCCACCGTCATCGGCTGGCGCGTAAACGGATCCTTGGGGTCGCTGAGCAGATGCTGCGCAATCGTCGAGCGGTCCACAATGTGCTGGCTCGGCAGCAGCACCGGGTCGTTCATCAGGTCACCCATGATGGGATCCTCAAATTCGGCGGGGATGTCGCCGAGGTCGAGCTCTGCCTGGTCAATGTCGAGCTTGGCCTGGACAAAGGCCTGCTTGAGCTGGGCCCAGCGCTCCAGGCCTCGGGCGTCGAGCTGGCCCTTCTTCTCTAGAATGTGCGACACGCGATCAAGCACCTCGGGCTTGTACGAGCGGCCGTCGGCGGCGACCGCGTGGATGAAATCCGGCGAGCTGCCAAGGTTGAGGTAGATCTCGACAAAGTCCGAGATGAGCTGGATGGGCCGAAAGTGGTACTTGTCCCGGTTGGACACGGACAGCTCGGCGGCCGCCTTTTTGCCCGCGAGGGTCTCCACGTTGTAGTTGAGCATGCTCGCCAGGCGCGTCACAATCTCGGGCATCGTAAAGGACTCGCCGAGCGCCTCGGTGAAGAGCTTCATCATCTCGAGCGTCTCGTTTGCGAGCTGCATGTACGACGTGGCCTGGTTGCCCAGCGTCTGCAGCTCCTCCTCCTTCTTCTGCCGCGTCTCCGCCGGCATGCTTCGGTCCTCGAGCTCGCGCTCCAGCGCGCGCATCTTGGGGAACTTGGTAAAGGCCTCGTCGAGGACGTAGGTGGCGTCGTTGAGCAGCATGTTTACGAATTGGACAAAGAACGCCTTGTTCACTCTGGCGGGTAATGTATTAGCAATGCACGCTCCCGCCCAACGGATAATTACTCACTTGCTCTCGCGCATCAGCTGCTGCCGGTATACGTCGTTCACCCACACGCACTTGATGACCTGGAAGATCTCGTAGCGGATGTTGAACTTGTCGTAAAAGGCCGAGTTGGCGCCCGTCGACTCGCACTCAATGTAGAACTTCATCAGCGAGTGGAGCAGGTAGTCGTTGGCGAACGGAAGCGACACGAGCTGGTCGCCCAGGACGCCCTTTTTCAAGTGCATAAACGGCCACGTCCCCGAGAAGAGGAGTGTAACCAGCGACGACTTGACATAGGGGTTCTTGATGTAATCCGAGGAGCGGAGCAGGGTGATGCAGAGCGCAGGCAGCTCCTCGCCCACGGCACTGAGCAGAATGTTGGGCAGATAGCGGAAGATGAACTTGAAGTTGTCCACAATGATCTGCAGCACATACTCGGGCAGGCACGCAAAGGCACCGTTGCGCTCGACGGACAAGGGGAGCTTGATCGCCTCACTCTCGTGGCCGGGCTTGTAGTCAGTGCCCGTGACCAGGCGCAGCAGCCAGACCGCCACGTACCGCATGAACCGTAGTGATGTTCCCTGCATGCGGTCGTCCAGGAGAACGCCCTCAATGGCCATCTTCAACCCAATGGCCTTCTCCAGGACGCTGGTGTGTCGCTTCATGGCCACCTCAAACATCTGCATCTGCGTCGGGGAGTTGGCGATCTTGGGCCGCTCCGCCTCCATGGCCTTGATGTGCTTCTCCAGATACTTGATCTCGCGGTCCATGTTCTTCAGCTGCGCATTGGTCGCCTCGCTGCCGTAGTGATGCGCCGCCAGCGTTAGAAAGAAGGCCTCGGAGATGAAGTTGGAGTCCCCGGGCTCCTGCTGCGCATAGTATTCCTCCGCCGCCGCCTGGTCCGCGTTGATCTTGGTCTCGTCCTTGATATCCACACGCGGCTGGCGCTTGAAATACTTGACGTCGATCTTGTCCACCTTGCTAAAGTCATTATCCATAAAAGGTTCGCAAAAACGGTCAAGGATGGTCGTCACATTCATCATGAAGCCGTCCGAGGCGACCTCCTTGGGGTTCACCTGGAGCGCGCGCCTTTTGTGGTTCGTGTTCATAATGTAGGCGAACCAGTCCAGTGTACGGTTCCTTGTGTCGGGACCTGCGCGGATGAAGGAATTGGCAATCTGGAACAGATCGTCTTGATGTGACCGCAGGACCATGCGCAACGCGTCTTGGGAGTTGGCAATGCGGCCCTTGTCGAGGGTCCGCGGCCCGGGAAAATAGCTCTTGATCACCTCAGGTTGCAGAGGAGACAGTCGGAAGAAGGGGCCGAGCAGGGTGTGCTTCTCGATATTGTGGGCGGACTGCGCCATCTTAAAGGTGGCGTCTTGCGCGAGGTTATGCAGCAGCGGTGGGAAGCGCGCATACGTCTGTAGCGCCTGGATGTACGGCTTGTAGTCGCCCTCCATCGACAAGCCCGACAGCTGTGTGCTGATGGTGATCATGGTCCTCGTGAAAAGCCTGGGGATCTCTTCGTCCTCGTCAAATCTCTTGATTGCGTCTTCGTAGAACTTGAGGTCCAGCCCGTTCTCATCCAGCGGCCCGCGCAAGACGTACGGCACCAGTGTGTCTGCCATCGCATTCTCGTCTCGACCAAAAAGTTCCGGCACAGTTAGGCAGAAGAGACAGTTGCTAAGACTCAGCCGCTTTGCTTCCTCCAGAACGACGACCCTGGCGGGGCTCAACCCTTTTGCTGAGCTAGCTGCCTTGACTGCACGCTTCCAGCACGGTAGCAGGTAGTCCAGCAGAGGTTTCCCCTTGGGCCATGTAGACGCCGCCTCCATTATAGCTTGATCCAGGTTCGACAGCGAGAACTTGAGCGGGTCGCCCGATGCGTTCGCCTCGGCGTTTGTGTTGGGTAGGAACATGAGGCGTTGCCCCGTGGGTGTCGACATGGTATGCGGATCGAGCGTGACGCGGAAGATCTGCGACAGCACGCGATGTGTGTAGTCCTCGTCCGACTCGGGTGCACTCGGTGTCGGGGCGGGTTTTCGTGCTGCTGGGGGAGGAGAGGGTTTGGCTTGAGCCAGACCGTCAGCATCGCTCGACGCTGGTCGCTTGCGGGAGGGGCGGGCGGTACCTGAACCATCCTTGCTGTCTGGTGCGCTGCCAGCTTTTCTGCTGCTGAGCTGTGTGACGGTGATGGGGCTGGGCTTCGTCTCGGTCTGTGGCTTCGAAGAGGAGGCCGTCGAGGCAGATGGCTCGGCTGTAGGCTCTTCTGGCTTGGGCGCCGCTGTGCCCAGCTTGGCAAGACGTCGCGCTCGGATCTGGCGGATGTTCAGTCAAACTGCTGCGATCGCTGGGAACGCTGCCAACATACCTGGTCCATCTTCTCCTTGTCGGGAGCATCGCCGCCTGGCCATGACGGTTGCTGCTGGGGCGGCTGCCCAGGGTCTTGCGGGTTGTCGGCGTCCATGATCACCCTCTATGCGGTCGAACAGCAAACCGAAATCAAAGGATGAACGTGGAAGGCGGCGGAAGAGGGACGCGGTCAAAGGCCAGATGATGGATGATGTGACCTTGTTGTAAGATTGGCTGGCGGCTGGTGACTGGCACTGGCGGCCCTGAAAGTCCAGTGGCCAATAGTGGGGTGTGACGCAGCGATAGCGGGGCGCGAGGCTACCAGACTTCACGTAGGAGCACACGAGTGTAATCGCAATGCTACAGATAATCTGACTCTAGCTTGTTGGCAGAACTGAAGGCAGTTAGGGAGTGGTTATACCTAAGAAAGACCAGTCACGAGACAAAGGCACAAGGTTGAACAGATCATGCAATATTGGATCCCTCCCCGTAGGCCCAAACTCCGCTTGTCCGTCTCCCAAGCTTCAAGTCCGCCCACTAGTCGATGCCGAAAGCTAGCAACTCTTAATCATCATCTGCCGTTCTGTGGACCTGCTCAGTACTTATGATCTATGCCATCTTCTGCAATGAATTCAAATCCTATGTACGCCAGCGCCAGCCTATGCGACCCGGGTATTCGTGTCTGTATGTCTGTGTGTGCCGTACGCGCGTGCGTGCGTGCGTCCCAACGCCAGCACCAAGTAAAACCCATCCCTCGTCCATTGTACATTCTTTTTACAGCCTTGGGAGATCTGTGTCTGTCCCAGACGATCTCCTTCTCTCAGGCATCGTCGGCATGCTCACCCCATCTGCCGAGTTCTCTCTGCGGATGGCACCAGTGCCAGAGTTGTGCGCTGCTCTGATGCGGCCCTCTTCTCGGCTTCTGTTTAGCAGCCAGTTGACGTGCATGCGGATCATGTTGATATTGTTGCGCAGCTCCGTGACCTCCTCGCGGATGGGCATCACTTGGTTCATGGTCCACATGCTCTGCCGAGCTTCCAGGTGCGTCAAGTTCTGGTGGACTTCTTCAAAGCCCGCGTCGAGATCCTGCATGGTGCGGTGGTCGCCCAGGGATGAGTCGCTTCTTCCTCGCCCGTCCACGGCTAGCGTGATGTCTTCTATTTTCCTCGCATTCTCGGCTTGCTGACTGCGACACTGCTGCACTTGGCTTGTAAGGTCGGCGTATGTCTGGATAAGGTCGCGTTGTGATCGGATCACCATGCCAGACGCGGTTTCTGGGTGGAAAGGGCACTCGGACAAGTGTTCGGCGAGGTCGCCACGTTCCACGCGGACAGGGCACCCAAGGTCAGCATACTGACATCCTACTTCGATACCATCACAGTCGAGCTCATGATGAGAAGCCATGGATGCCCTCGTGACCATCTGCCAGCATGCCTCGCATCGTGCCTTTCCTTTCTCGCAGGTGAGGAGATGGAGATCCCGGTCCGCCTCGATGATGGATTGGTCGCAGTAGCGACAGTGCGTAGAATAATGCTGGCAGTAGTCGACCACGGGCTTGGACCTGACCTTTTTCTCGCACTCTGGGTCGGCGCAGTGGTAATCCTTGAATCGACACTCGACTGTCGCATGCGTCTCAATGTTTTCCCGCTTGCATTCGTGTGTACAACCCCGACCGTGATGAGGACATTTCACAATCAGGACATTAAGCTGGGCCCTGACCAGTCGCCCCGTGCTGAAACACTCGGCCCACGTCAAAGGCTCCCGGTCGACTGGGCAGGCCGTGCCAGCTGGGCTCGACTCGATGCTCCTCCGCAGACAGCGGTAACAAAAAGTGTGGTCGCATGGCGTCGTGACCGGATCGACGAGGGGGTCGTGACATATCGGGCACAGCAGTGCTGGGTCACTTTCGGAGACATAGGTCAGGGCATACATGTCAAAGACACTATCGCCTCCATATTTGGCTGGCAGGTCGAGCGAAGCGGGATGCGGTGTCATCAACGGGCCTGTTCGACGTGCCGAGGTCCCGTTGCCGTCTACACGGCCCACAGCTTGTGATCTCCAGCGCCCAGATCCCCTGCGAGCACCTCGCTCTCCTCGGTCCGCGTTGGTTGGCGTGTAGTATCTGTCTGGCGACGGTGGACGCACCAGACTCGTGACAAGGTCAGGCGTGGGTGAGCTCCTCCGCATGTTGCGTCGCGCAAAGGCCCGCGCGGCGGCTGGACTCATTCGGTAGCCATCGTCGCTCGAGGACTCGGACGTCCTAGACCCGCGTCGATCCGGCGGGATGGTGACGCGCGGGCGTTGTGTCGCGGTCGAGGATGACGACGGCTGGCTCGAGGCCATGATGGGTCTGGTACGGATAATGGACCGTTCGACAGTGAGGCAGGTCAAGGGATGCGTGATGAATACATCAGGGGCGGGTTGCAATTGATGAGTGGAAGTGGTGGTTGTGGTTTCTGAGGATGACGGACGATGGTGGCTGGCGGTGTGTGCGCAAGCCGGGTAGGGCCTTGCTCGAGTTGTACCGTCTGTGGGCGCGCGATGACTGTGGTTGCGACGAGGATGGCAATTCGGCGTGAAGATCGCGGGTCGTCCAAGTGACGGCACCTCGACGGCAACTGGATGCTGCCCCTCCAGGGTTCAGCTGACTCACTAACGAAAGGTGTCGCTGCTCAGGCCTCAGTCTGCATGTGTGCAAGCCTGCCTAACTTTTTCAAAAATTATAGTTGCACTGCGCAATCTGCCATCATTACATGTAGCATTGATTCATTCTCTTAGCTCCATCTCTCTTTTATGAGAGCATTTATTAATACAGGCGACACCGTTCTGAACATTGCTTTTCGTGTTCACTAGCCGCTGACGTACCCCGCAACCATGGGTCCTTCCGCCGCCGCATTCCGTTGTGCTATTGACGGGAGGCATCCGAGGCAGTCGACCCCTAACACCAGCTTTATCCTGTCCTCGGCTTTGATGTAGCCTTGAATTATAAAGAGGTGCTTCGTTGGACAGGGCCACTGTATTCCTTTACCACTAGCTGTTCGTGTCAGTAGCTTTTGTCCTCCAGAACAAAATGACGTCAGACCTTAGAAATGGATGCCTCGATAGACACACCATTCGAAGAGACAAGTCGGGGAAAAGCCAGGAGATGCAGTCTCGCCGTCTGATGATCGAGAGTGTCCCTGCGGACTAAATGCTAACAAAAGACATCTATGACTTGCTAATGTGCGTGTAGCCTCTGTAACTCCCTCTTGAAATACATGTTCTGCAGGGTAGCCTCATCACCACCGACGTCATGGGCACGTGCCCTATGCTAAAATCTCCTTGCATGCCTCAAGACCTTCATGTCCTCTGGCGTGGTCACGTGGACACGCGCGCTACGAATATCGGATCTGTCCAGAAGCTGCTCGAACACAGCTCCAAACTCTGTCGAGCTCACGACACTGTGCTGAGCCGCGTCCTCGTCTACTTCCACGCGGAAACCCAGGTACACTTCGTTGAAGCGGACGGACTTGTCCAGGTTGTCGCGAGCAGCGCCCAGGCACAGGGAGTACAGTGCGCCCTGTGTTATGGCGGGCAAAGGGTGTGTGGCCAGGTCCCCCTGGGAGCCAGTGCACATGGTGAAGGAGCTGTTCTTCTGCTCGCGCAGATACTCGATTGTGTCGCGGTAGGCAACTGCCAGTGTCAGTCTCAGGTGCTCTGCATGCTCAACTTGCTGTGAGCAGGATGCTGTCGCTTACAGAAGTTGGCCTCAAAGGAGATGTTGAGATTGTAGCGCAGACGATCCGTAGTAATGCTCTCGATAGGGTCCGTAATGTATTCTCCGCCAACTACACGTCAAGTTAACCCATGGGACTCGGTATTGGATGGGGAGGGCCATGTCATGCCGGAAGAGTAGACGTGCTGGAAGGTTGGCAGCTTGCCCTCCCGGACCTTGGTCACCACATCGGCAACCCCCGAGTCCGAAGCAACGTCAGCCTCGACAAAGGTGATGTCTTTGGAGGTCCCCACGCGCTTGATGAGCTTGTCGGCCGAATTTTGGTTGCGCACAATGGCCAAGACGTTGCGTCCTGCCTGCAAGGCTCCTTTGACAGCCGCGACGCCAATGTTGCCGGTGGCCCCGACGACGAGGACCGTCTCCGCTGCCATCTGGATGCTGCGGGACTCGCGGGAGTATAGGGTAGTGTACAGAGTAGTGGTGCGGATGCCTCTATGACACAGAACAGGATCGCACTTTAGTAGCAAGGACGGCAGCCGTCATGGACAGTGACGAGGGAGCCAGCTTAGATATATTAATCGGTCACGTACCACGATAATTTGGTCCTGGCTCCTTCGCACTTTTACAATTGTCCATTCTCCGGACAAATCCGACCTTGGCGAGGGGCTCAACTTGATTGGACTTGGGAGGCACCGATGCGACCTTGGGACTTTCATAATATTATTAATGGCCCCTAGCAAGGTCGTGGGATCACCGGGAGCACGATCTACAATGCTGTCAGCCCTAGGACAATTGTTTTGATGCCAAGGTATTAGTCGTCGCGCTTTAACAGGAATTGACTACACGTGCACAGTTTGAATCTCCTGATTTTTCAAATTAATACCTCCCCAATATCTACTTTTGATAATAGTCTATTTTCATCCATTACTCCTCCAGCATGCCGTCTAAAGCGTGCGGACTGCGGACTCCTTCCGCGCGCCCAGTGTCCTTCACCATCAAGAATCCATTCACCAGCCACTTACAACATGGCAGCGGCAAATGCGAGCGCAGCGAGACCACCGGCGACAGACAGGCGAGCACCACCAGCAGTGGGACCGTCGGTGTAGGCTGGGACGGTCTGAGCCGGGACAGTAGTGACCGCGCCGTCAGCTCCAGTGGTAACGTAGGCGCTGTGGACGACACTGCTGTGGACAACTGGGACCACGGTAGTAACACCGTTGATGACGGAGGTGACGTTGCGAGTCGCGGGGACGAAGGTGGTGGGCTGGGGTGGCTTGCCCGTGTTGATGGAGCTGTAGGGGCCAGGGGTCGGCTTGACACTGTTTGTCGAGCTGGAAAGCAGGCCAAGACCGCGAAGGATGTAGCAGTCGCCGATCAGAGCACAGGCCTTGCCTGGGTATTCGCGGTTGGGGTTGCAACCGTAGTCGCCAGCGGCATTGGTCTCGCCAGCGGCCGGACAAGCAGCTGGAGTAGACGTAGGGTTGGCACTGCTGGTCGTGGTGGAAAGCAGGCCCAGACCGCGGAGGATGTAGCAGTCGCCGATCAGAGCACAGGCCTCGCCTGGGTACTCACGGTTGGGGTTGCAACCGTAGTCGCCAGCGGCATTGGTCTCGCCAGCGGCCGGACAAGCAGCTGGAGTAGACGTAGGGTTGGCACTACTGGTCGTGGTGGAAAGCAGGCCCAGACCGCGGAGGATGTAGCAGTCGCCTATCAGAGCACAGGCCTCGCCTGGGTACTCACGGTTGGGGTTGCAACCGTAGTCGCCAGCGGCGTTGGTCTCGCCAGCAGCTGGGCAAGCGGTAGGAGTAGACGAGGGGTTCGCCTGGGCTGACACGGCGCCAGCGGCAGCCAGAGTAGAGAGGATAGTAGAGTACTTCATGGTGGATGTGGATGAAAGTTGTGGGCGGTATGAGTGGTGTCAGAAGTGATGCGGTGTCTTGGAGGAGGGAGAGCTGATGAGTGGGTGAAGATTAATATTGAGGCTCGTCGGCACCTGACGCTTTATAGAAGACTTGTGGCATCCTGTTGCAATGGTATGTCAAATTTTCATCCGGCTGTTCCCAGTATAGACTGGCCCTGCTGCTGAAGCCGGACGAAGAAAGAAACTTTGCCTAAGCCTGCGAAGAAGAAAACGCGAGTTGCACTGTTGCACGCAGGGACGCATCACGAACGTAGTCCAGAACAGGGCCAGCTGAAAACAGAATAATTAGATGTTTTCGGCGCTGGTACCTTTCCAGTGCCGGTCGCTGCATGCCGTTCGATAGGTTGCATTCTTTCACAGGAATGCGGCTCTGAGCCGGATCGGAGGCTGTTTCTGCCTAGTCCGGCCGGATCCGACAAGTGGCGTGAGTTGAGACACTGAAGCCTACTGACTGTCACCGAAATAGAAACAGAAGAGAAAAACGATCACATCGCATGATATTCCATCGTGCGAGAGCCGCAATCGGCAATGCTCGACGCGCGGCGCAACCAGACTAGTTGGCTAGTCGAGGCCGCAAGAGGTCCGAGATGCAGACGGAGACGCCGCGGCGGAAACAGTGGGTACTCGGCCGACATGCCGGAGGGCTGGAACCTGGGGGCCCATCTCACCTCACGTCTACTTGGTAGTAGATACGATCCCTATCCCCTGCCTGGTGATTTGGCAACTGCGGAACATTATAGATTCATTCTGTATAGAGAGGCAGATTCGGCGAAAGCTTGTGTCTTTACAAGCAAATTATTCAGAAAACAAAGATTGTGTGTGAGCCAAGTAGGTGCCCGAGTCAACACAGAGTATCCGTACGGTTCGGGGACTGTGGATTGTGTGAAATGCGTGTCACGTGTAGCAGACTGCATGACATTTGGTCGCATCATAGTAAACTCGCCTGCACGTTATCAAACGTTCAGGGACCTCTTCTAGTGTCGTGCAAAGCAGCTGCAGGGTAGGCTCATCGCCCCCGACGTCATGGACACGTGGACACCTGCGCTTTCACGTGCCCGCCCACAATCGGGCTTTCACATGCCGACAGCGACTGGATTCCAGCGCTGGAAATGAAGGACTGACCATCACAAATCGCCCCGAACCGAATGGGCGTCACGAGTCGCGTCGGCTGCACAGCCGACGCATTCCATCTCGCCCCATTGTCATTGTGCTGACCGTCTTTCTTTGTTTGCATAATCATCACAGCACCAGCCCATCACCATCTTCAGCTTCCCACCCTCATTGTCCACAGTGAGCGCGTCCTAGACCCCTCAGCGCCACCATGGAACGCTGGGCACGTTGATAGACCGAGTACAAAAACCGAGTCGCTGTGACAAACAAATATGATAGACCACGTGCTTGGGCGGCCGTCGTCCAAGTCGCGACGCCTTCAAATCCTCGCTGTCCTTTCCTTCTGGTCATTCTACCTCTACCGGTGCGTTGTTGCTGCCCCTCCCCGCTGGCGATGCTGGCAGCTAGACCTCAACTGACACGTCGACAGAGGCAGCAAACATGGCCCACCCGGGGCGCAGACGCTCTCGCGCCTCCTGTCCACGCGCCTGACGACATGGCAGACCATTGTCCTCACGATGCTTCACCTCTACGCCGCGCGCAACTTTAGTGCCCTCGTGGGCCTCGCGTCGCCCGAGCCCATGGCCAACATGTACGATCCGACGTACTTTCGCGCGACTTGGTTCCTCACGGCGCTCGATGCGGGCTTCTGGACGGCGATGCGGATACAGCGACCCAAATGGCTGCGCGACATAGCCTCGATCGTCTTCTCCGTCTTCTACCTCGTGTCGGCGGAACGCGCAGACGAAAAGGTGCGCAAGGTCAGGGGCATGTTGACGGTGGAGCACCTGCGTGTTTCGTGGAATAAGGGGACTACGCCGTACCTGAGCTTCTTTCAGGGTCTGCTGCGACCAAGGTTCACGCGATGGCCGCCACGCCAGGTTCGCATCCCCCGACCGAGGAGTAGCGACTACAAGGAGAGTGTTGTCGGGTGGCTCTACTACGATGGGCCCCTGGCCGATCTGGAGCATCACAATAAAGTCATCTTGGATATCCCCGGTGGAGGCTTTGTGGCCATGGACCCGCGATGCAACGACGACAAGCTCTTCTGCTGGGCTGCCAAGTCGGGCCTACCGATCCTCAGTCTCGACTACCGAAAAGCACCCGAGTACCCGTACCCATACGCCCTCAACGAATGCTTCGACGTGTACACGACGCTGGTGCAGACAAAGGGACGATGCATTGGCATGTCTGGCAAGGAGGTGCCGCGGATCATCGTGACGGGCGACAGCGCAGGGGGCAACTTGGCGGTGGCGATGACACTGATGATCCTGGAGAACGACACGCCTCACTTTCGACGGTTCACCGGACGGGGTCACCTGCCTGCGCCTGATGGCCTTGTCTGCTTCTACCCTGCCCTGGACATGAACATTGGCAACTGGATGACCGACGAGCAAATGTCACTCATCAGGGACCGCAAGATGAGAAAGACGAACAAGTCTATCGTGAGAAGAAAGAGTCGCCAATACAACGACCTAGTCGGGACGCCGCACCACTCAGATGACGAGGATGACGCCCCGCCATCAAAGGGCACAACGTCCGCCACAGTGGAAAGTGAGGCTTCTGACGAGAACGCGACGAAATCACACCCAGAATACTCGCACACTGGACCCCGAACGCTCAGTGGGCCAGCCGCCCACGGGGATGGCAGTGCCTCTCTTCACGTGGAACCGATGAAGACGCGCCTGGCGACTTCATCCATGATCTCCTACTTTAACGACCGTGTCCTCACGCCCGAGATGATGCGCGCCATGATCATCCTCTACATTGGACCTCACAACCGCCCCGACTTCTCATCAGACTACCTACTCAGCCCCGTCCTCGCGCCGGAAGCCCTCCTGGCCAAGTTCCCCAAGACCTACTTTATGACAGGCGAGCGCGACCCCCTCGTCGACGACACGGTCATCTTCTCCGGCCGGCTGGCACGCGCCAAGGAGGCCGCAGCGCGTCACCGAGCATCGCCCACCGCCCTAGGCGACTTTTCCGAGGAGCTGCGCGACCTGGGCACGGCCGAGGTCATGCTCATCCCGGGGACATCACATGGCTTCATGCAATTCCCCGCCCTGTACCTGCCAGCGTGGAAGCACTTTCAACGCTGCGCAGAGTGGTTCGAGCAGCTGTACACGCACGCGGACGCTGTGCGCGCGCGCTCCGTGCGCCGACGAAGACCGCTGCCGGTCCCTCTGTATCCGGGTGCCGGGTATGGGGGCGCCCGACCCCAGACGGCCGAGTCGAGCGGTGACGAGGATCGACCGCTGGAGATGAGCATGCTCAGTCGCGGGCGCAGCCGCAGCACGGCGGGGACACCGGTCAGTGATGCGCAGCGTGAGGAGGACAACAGCAGTAAGCCACGGGGCCAGCACAAGGCGAATGGCAAGAAGAAGGGTGGGATGAGGATGAACAAGTCACTTGTCAAGTTGGCCAGCGAGGAGGACCTGTTGTCACGACGCATGCATGGGTTGACGAGCGGGCTGACGGGCAAGGGAGACGACTATTGACGTCCGTTATTGTGTGGCGTGATGCGTGCATTGGATGTATGTACGTAGTCATGTATGTATGTATGTAGAAAGTGAAATACGAGCACATGAGGCATGCATGATTATGTGGACAGGGCAAAGTCGCCCGGATAGAACGGGTGCAGATGCATGAGTTAACTAAGTACTGGAAGCAACGGCACGGCAAGCCGGATCCGTCTCGCGTTTCGACGCTGGAATGACGACTCGACGGTCTAGATGCGATCTAATGAAGTGAGGGGGCAGTGGTCCAATTGAGTTTGTTTGGACCTGCTGAATAACCTGCTTTAATCCGAGTGGTCTTCTCATCACAGCTTCATTCACATCCATCAATTGAGAGAGCACGCACTGAGCAGCAGCAGCCATGGTACACCTGAGCAAGATCCCCGTGAGGACCAAGGTGCGCAGACCGGCACCAGCACCCCCGTCAGTCCAGCAGGAGGTGATTGACGAACTCGACGATGCCACAGGCAGTGTGTACGGCACGCGCTTCGCGGCGACGGACTTGCCTGCGCATGAGATGCCTGAAGGGCAGATGCCCAAGGACGTGGCCTACCGGCTGATCTCAGACGAGCTGAGCCTCGACGGGAACCCCAAGCTGAAGTGAGTGAATGTAGACGGCAGTGAAAGATGCGCTGACGCTGGCAAGTCTAGCTTCCTTTGTGACGACGTACATGGTGCGTGGGGACAATCACTCACAGACACGCACACCGCAAGCTCACCCGTGGACAGGAAGAAGAGGCCGAGAGGCTCATGACCGAGTGTCTCGCCAAGAACTTTATCGACTACGAGGAGTACCCCCAGTGCGCGGCCATCCAGACAAAGTGCGTGTCCATCATCGGCAACCTCTTCCACGCGTCCGAGGGCGCCTCCATCGGGACGTCGACGGTCGGCTCCTCCGAGGCCATCATGCTGGCCGTGCTGGCGCTGAAGCGACGGTGGCGCGAGAAGCGCCAGGCCGCCGGTAAACCCTACGACAAGCCCAACATTGTCTTCTCGGCCGCCGTCCAGGTCTGCTGGGAGAAGGCGGCGCGGTACTTTGACGTGGAGGAGAAGCTGGTCTACTGCCGCAAGGACAGGTACGTGATTGACCCGGAGGAGACGGTGAACCTGTGCGACGAGAACACGATTGGTATCTGCGCCATCCTCGGCACGACGTACACGGGCGAGTACGAGGACGTCAAGGCCGTCAACGACCTGCTGGTCAAGCGGAACATGGACGTGCCCATCCACGTCGACGCCGCGAGCGGTGGCTTCGTTACGCCCTTTGTGGTGCCGGAGCTCGAGTGGGATTTCCGCTGCGAAAAGGTCGTCTCCATCAACGTGTCCGGCCACAAGTACGGCCTCGTGTACCCGGGCGTGGGCTGGGTCGTGTGGCGCGCGCCGGAGCATCTGCCGCAGGACCTGGTCTTTAACATCAACTACCTCGGCGCCGAGCAGGCCTCCTTCACCCTCAACTTTAGCAAGGGCGCCTCGCAGGTGATCGGGCAGTACTACCAGCTCATCCGGCTCGGCAAGAAGGGGTACCGCGCCATCATGACCAATCTCACCCGCACGGCTGACTACCTGAGTGACTGCCTTGAGAAGCAGGACTTTGTCATCATGAGCCAGCGCGCGGGTAAGGGCTTGCCTCTTGTTGCGTTTCGCTTCAAGGAGGACGAGGACCGTGGGTTTGACGAGTTTACGCTCGCGCGCACGCTGCGTAGTCGCGGCTGGGTCGTCCCCGCGTACACCATGGCGCCCAAGACGGAAAATCTCAAGATGCTGCGCGTCGTGGTGCGCGAGGATTTCTCCCGCGAAAAGTGCGAGTTGCTGCTCCAGGACATTGCCCTGTGCATCCGCTTGCTCGAGACGATGGACAAGGAGCAACTGGCCAGGCACGAGAAGTTTATCCAGACCCATGTCACCGCCCACGGACGCGGCGGGCCGGGCCACGAGAAGTACAAGGTGAGAATGTTCCTTTTTGATGATTAAATGGGGTTGTACTGACTGTGGCGTGCAGAATGAGAAGCACTCGCTTCAGGGCAAGACGGGCAAGACGCATGCCATCTGTTGAGAGTGGCGGCAGCAATGGGGAGGATCTTTGAGTTAGCAGGCAAAGTGAATTCATGAATGGGTATCGTTTACAAGTGCGCCAGTGAATGCCATGTGGACTGCTGCCACCTTACTGAGGTAACCCGGCCTCTCCCTTGTCAAAGAACTTTGGTCTAGGCAGAGCTGCCGACTCCCTAACCAGACACCTCGCTATGAAGAGGACCATACAGCCGCCGAGGAGCGAGGATAGCGCCGCTGCTACTGTCAGTTTCACACGTATCGCTGTCACGTAAATGAAGAGGACTTACTAATCGTAAACGCCCATCCAACTCCCACAGCGTCAATCAGAGGCACAGCACCGCCCACGCCCACGGCGCCAAAGCAGTACTGCGTCAGATACTTGCCACTGATCGCGGCCGCCTTGAACTCGGGGTGCACCTCGGCCGCATACGTGTTCAGCCCATTGAACGCAGCCATGAGTCCAAACCCCTGGATGAACGACGCCGAGATGGGCAAACCCATGCCGCCCACTTCCCTGTCCACGCTCCAGCCGTACAGAAGCGTGCCAAGGGGCAGCACGACGAAGAACCAGGGCAGACTGCTGTTGAGACGGTCCTCGGCGAGGCGGAGCCCGTGGCGGTGGCGCTTGTAGCGCTGTACGGTGCGGTCGGATAGATGGCCTGCCACGACGGAGCCGGCGAGGAAGCCGACGCCGGGGGCGAGGTAGAAGAGACCTGACGACATGGGCGAGGTGAGATGGAACAGTGGATTGATGATGTGGCGCACTGACGCGAGGAGGCTGTACTGGTTGAAGGCGAGGAAGCCACACGTGAGGTCCTGTAATCAGCGTCAGCAGGTTTGATGAGATCAGCACGTCGAGGGTGCCTACTGCAAGTAAGATGCCGGGAAACTTGTACAGACGGAAGATGTTGCTTGGGTTGAAGGCTTTGAGGATGTTCCTGGCGTTCTTCGCCTTCCTCGTCTCGACGGTCACGTTGGACAGCTGACTCCTCTTGGGGATGAAGAAGAAGGCCAGGACGCCGCCAATGAGAGCCATGGCGCCCTGGACGCCGAAGATGATACGCCAGGATGTGAAAGTGCCGATGATACTGGAGATCATGGGCGCTACACAATGGTCAGTGCGTGAAGAAGAGAAACTTTGGGCAGGACGTGCTGATGGACTGCGCGCTGACGGTGCTACCCAGGAAAAAGCCCACCGCCGTGCCGCGCACAGCGGGATCGAAAATGTCACTGAGAATGGTCTGCCCAGCAACAAGGAAGAAAGGCCCCGTCGTGCCACTGAGGACCCACAGTGTCGTGAAGCTCGCCATGCTGTCGCTCAGGGCGCAACCCAGGGAGCACAGAATAAAGACGGCCACGGCCACCAGGTAGGCGGCCCTGCGGCCGATGATGGTCGTAATGGGCAGCCAGAGCAGCGCGGAGCTGGCGGACGCTACGAGGACACCCGCGTTGGCGGTGGAGATGGCCGTCGCGGGGACGGAGAAGGTGGCTGCGATTTCCGGGTTCACGGTCATGATGGACGTGGACATGAACGTGACGGGGAGTGTCATCCAGCAGACGACCAGGAGGATGACGGTGCGTTTCCATGATGGCAGAACGGCTGCATTGTCGTCGGAAAAGGGGGCTGGCTGGGCTGGTGGGAGGCTGTCGGTAGTAGTGGTACCCTGGGAGGGCACTGAGCCGGACTCGGGGTCGGGGTGGGTAGTGGAAGCGGCCATGTCGGATTCATGGGAGGCAGATGGGTTTGGAATACTCAAACGTGACACCTTGGGGCGGCAGACTCGGTCTTACAAGTACTAATTAATTGAATAATTTTAGGTTTTGTAAAGGTTAAAGCCAAGTGGCGGCGTCGCTCGCCGTCGGTGACTAACGGCATTAATATGGGGCTTATAAGTGGGCCTTCCGATGCGGCTCCGGCGTCCGCGCCGTGGGCAGCGGAGGTCCGGTCGAGCCTTCCCTGTTGTCAGGCTTGGACACACCAGCCAATCGCTTCAGGCAGCTTGAGTTAGACCGTTGAGTTGTAGTCTCAAATACCTCTGGGGATAATATAAAGGAAATTATTCATCAATTCAGAAGAGATGCAGGCCCAACTGCGATCTCGGTCGATGAGATCTGCGCCGTCGGCTGTGCCGTCGGCGAAATGGCAGGTTGCCGACGGACCAAGCTTTTCACTGACTTTGACCCGAGGTCTGACCTTCTACTCTGACCTAACCTGGAGTCATCAAGTATTTTGTGCGCTAGATGCACATGAGGACTCAGCTTGTCATTGCTGTTCGTCAGATACGTACAGAGGTTGAAAAACCACCCAGGCTCACCACCTTGAAACCCAAGACGGAATCATGTGAAAGCGTAACGCTGACCAGTGGAACAAAGAGTCTTGGCATGTCACTGGTAAGAACGGCTCATTGAAGCCAAAGACTATCAAAAATGGTCCGACAAACAGTCAACAATCAAGGTCATCCGTCACACGGAGAAGACATTGTGTCATGGACAACCCAACAGCGCGGCCTGGGAGGTGATGAGAAGGAGGTGGTGCGGCAACACACAATCAAGTCTGCGCTCAACGGTAGGGATATACTGACAAGGCTAAAGAGGCCTCAGAGGTGCATCAAGATCCAAAAGCTTGCCAAAGACCGCTTTCATTGCGGAGATATCACAGAGACCTAGATAAGAACATGTTGTTGAAGACCAAGCCTCGTGCACACGGCACACGGATCAGGCAGCCAGCAGCATCTTTGTGATGAGCAGTGAAACGTTTGCCCATCAAATTGGGCGAATACCAATGTCGCCGAGTGATACCAGCGGCCAGATAGCCTCACCCGTCTGGGCGGCGACTTGCACAGATGGATGGATCCCTGCACCACAACAAAGTCGCCGTGTTGCATTCACGGGAGCATCCGCGATGGCGCTCCACAGCGGCGAGATTGTAAAAGTCTCCCTCCTGTGAACGATTTATAAGAGAATGGACTCGCCCTATTCGGTATTCCAGATCAGATCAGATTGAGTTCCTCCTCTGACAGGACAATCGAAATGGGTGCCTCATGCTGCGAAAAGTCCCCTTCGACGAACGAGCCCGCCGTTGGGGCCCACGATCACGACGATAATGAAGAAGGGCAAGTCCACGCCCATGAGACCCATGATCATAGGCCCAAAACCAACGCGAGCGAGGACCGTGCGAGCGACACCCATGGCCACAGCCACAGCCACGACGAGGGCGCCGAAATTAGATCCCTGGCTACGGGGACGACTTGCTGCGGAACCGAAGAGCGCTGCGATGGTCAGTCGTGCCATTGACTTTGAAGGTGTCGCTGACAGTCTCAGAAAAATGCATCTACGCTGCTGCTGCGCTCGAATGCGGCAAGGCTTGCGCCGGCGACGACGACGACCCCGACAAGGAAACGCACCGGCACGAGCACGATGAAGGGGGCCACATGGCTAACACGGCGTGCCCGAGCCACATCCAGATGGCCGTGGACAAATACACCAGCTATCTCCAACAGCTGCGCTGCATTTGTCGAGATGCGTTGCGGGAGTCCTCTTCGACTGAGATTTGTTGCGGCAAGAAGACAAGCAGGAAACAACCCAAGACAAAGAGCTGCTGCGGTGATATGGGCTGCACTGGCAAAAACAACAATCAGGATCCCTCTAAATTCGAGCCCTCTGGCTTCGCGCACCAGGAGGTCGACCTAGAACAGACCGGCAACATGGAGACGGTGCACTACCTCGTCTCCGGCATGGACTGTACATCCTGCGCCGACAAGCTCATGACCATCTTCAGCGCCATGCCAGGCGTGTCCTCGCCTCGCGTCAACTTTGTAGTCGGCCGCGGCGAAGTGCATGTTGACACATCCGTGACCAGTGCAGACGAAGTCCTGCGCTTCGCAGCGACGGCGAGCAACTTCTCTCTCGTCAAGGTCGTCGGTGGTGATTTCTACCTCGACGTCCTCGCTGGGCCTGCCGAAGCTAGGAAGTTGACCGAGCAACCGCCACAGGGTGTGACGGACGCACAAATCCTGGACAGAAAGACGGTTCGTCTCGCCTATGATCCGACAGTCACCGGCGCGCGCGATCTCCTCGCGTCTCTTCAGGGCCAGTGTCAGGGGCTAGCTGAACCACGAGGCGATTCGCAGCTTGAAAACAGCCGTCGCCGTCTTCGGGATCAGTTGTACAAGACCCTTCTCGCTGCGCTGTTCACAATCCCCGTGACGGTGTTAGCATACGCCAACGGCCTCGTGGACAAACAGACCAAGGGCATCGTCTCCATTGTCCTCGGCACATGCGTACAGATCATCGCCATACCCGAGTTCTACCGCCCCGCCCTGAGCGCCCTCTGGTACAGCCACATCGTCGAGATGGACATGCTCGTCGTCATGAGTATCACGGCTGCCTACGGATACTCTGTCGTCGCCTTTGGCTTCGAGATGGGCCATCGACCCCTCGAGCAGGGCGACTTTTTCGAGACAAGCAGCATGCTCATCACGTTGATCCTCATGGGCCGTCTGGTCGCTGCGTTTGCGCGGGTGCAGGCTGTCGCGGCTGTGTCACTGCGATCCCGGCTGAGCAGCAGTGCTCTTCTTGTCACCTCAGCAGGCGCCCAGGAGATTGACGCGAGGCTCCTACAGTATGGCGACAGCTTCAAGGTCCTGCCGCACACGCGTGTACCTACAGATGGCGTTGTGACTCTTGGTAAAACAGAGGTCGACGAGTCTATGCTCACGGGCGAGTCCATGCCTGTGCTCAAGAAACAAGGCGACGACCTGATTGCCGGCACTCTTAATGGCGACGGCATTGTGACCGCACGGCTGACACGTCTACCCGGCAAGAACACAGTGACCGACATTGCGCAGCTCGTGGAGGAGGCAGCCAACTCCAAGCCCAAGCTGCAGGACCTGGCGAACAAGGTAGCCAGTTGGTTCGTCCCCATTATGGCCGCCATTGCCGTGCTGGTCCTGGTCATCTGGCTCGCGGTTGGTCTGCGCGTGCTCGAGTACAGCGCCGGCCGAAGCATCGGCACGGCCATCACGTACACCGTGGCCACACTGGCCGTAGCCTGTCCCTGTGCGCTCGGCCTGGCGGTGCCCATGGTTATTGTTGTCGCTGGCGGGATCGCTGCCAAGGGTGGCGTGATTATCAAATCAGCAGAGACCACGGAGCGCGCGAGGAAGATCACCGACGTGGTGTTTGACAAGACTGGGACCATCACGGAGGATGATCTCGCGGTTGTCGAGCAGGTCATTCTCGCGGATGTACAAGAGGACGAGGCTGTTTCGTTGACAAGGGCTTTGGTCGCAGGAGGCAAGCATCCAGTCTCAGCTGCCATGGAGAAGTACCTGGCAGCACAGTCCTCTGTTGCTGCTGCAGTTGTGTCTGGTATCCGTGTGATTCCTGGTGCTGGCATCGAAGCACGGTACCAGGAAAACACCGTCAAAGCTGGCAACGCCGAGTGGACTGGCACATCCAAGGTTACAGAGGTTGCACGTGTCCAAGGATCTGGCCTTACCACGCTGGTGGTGACTTTGAACGGCACACCTCTGGTCGTGTTTGGACTCCGCACTCAAATCCGCCGCGAGGCATTGGGCGTGATAGAAGGGCTCAAGTCTCGCAATATTGCCGTCCACCTCGTATCAGGCGACCAAATCCTGGCAGTACAAGCCGTTGCACGGGCAGTGGGCATCCCCCCAGAGAACGTCGCGGGTCACTGCACACCACCAGAGAAGAGAGACTACGTAGGGGCTCTGATGAGCGCTCCCGCCAAGTACGTCATGTTCTGCGGCGACGGGACAAACGACGCTGTGGCCGTCGCGCAAGCCGACGTGGGCGCGCAGATGGGCGGCGGCAAGACATCGAGCGACGTGACGCAGGGAGCCGCCGACGTGGTGCTGATGAAGGGACTCGAGGGCATCCCGTTCTTGCTCCGCGTCAGCAGGGCCGCCTACCAGCGCATGGTGTTCAACTTTGTCTGGGCGGCCGTTTACAACGTGCTGGCCGTGACGATGGCGAGCGGCGCCTGGGTCGCGTTCCGCATCGAGCCCCAGTATGCGGGTGCTGGCGAGATGGTGAGCGTGCTGCCGGTCATTCTGGCGGCTGTGTCCATGTTTGTGCTCAATCTGAGGCGGGGGGAGGATGTGCAATGAGTCTTAAGGGTTTCTGTGTGGGATGGCAGTCTGTTTAATGGGACAATTGTTGAACGTTGTAGTTCAAAAGATTTGATTGAAGCTTGAGCTCTTGAAATATACCTGAGCTTCTGAAGTCAACGTGGAGGTTGACCATGATGCAAATACCCTACATATGCTACTATCAGTGTATAAGTATATCCCTTTGTCACATAAGACTCGATACACGCATCTACCTTGAGCATCGCAGCTTCGTGTCACCATATCGAATGACAAAATCTTCTTAATGAAATGATGGAATATGTCTTGTCCTTGTATGACCGCTCACAGCAACGGTCACCAGCGCCACATTCCATCCCCATGAGCTGTCCAGCAAGTTGAGTCCATCACTGTGGATCCATACAGCGCGGCGACTTTCATCACCAACGTGCAAAAGTCGCCGCTCCGCGCCGCGCCCCATGATCATCACTTCTCATCGGTATGAGCACCTGAGAACAGACGAGAACTTGGTGCTTCCATCATTGCGCTGTTGACTTGCTGGCCCTAAAAGAGATGGAGACCCTCACGCCCACTGGTAATCGACATCGTGCCTGCGACCCTTGTCGTAAGTACATCCCCTGCACCATGAACGCGGCGACTTACAAAAGTCCCAGGCAAGCGCAAGATCAAATGCTCGCAGCATACGCCGCTGTGTAGACGATGTGACAACATGAGGCTGCAATGCCAGTACTCGGCCATCAAGACCATGGGCCGACCCAGGAGGAAGAAGAGTAGCCAGGCTGGCGATGGCCTGAGACCTCAAGCCAGGACGAGACCAGAAGACGAGCTCAATTTGTCAACCATGTTCCCCATGGGTTCCTTACCCGATGGTCTGGACCAGGACTTCCCCGACTTTGGGCCATTACTACCGTTTGACTCATCTCTTCACTCGACGCCCCTCTGGCCTAGTCTCCCAGACATGCCAGCGCCAGCAGTAGACGCAACGACGGGATCGTTCGCTGCTGGCGTCGGCACACCAGCCCATGACATTCAGACATTGCCCTCGCCATGGCCATCAGCGTCCCAGCAGCAGACCCTCCCTCGCCCTGGGAACAAATGCGCCTGCCTGGAGATGGTCCACCGCCACTTTGCCCTCGCCGACGACAACGACCACTCCTTCACCAAGACGCTCTCGCACCTCCAGTCCTCGGCGGCATCCGCCTCCCAGATCCTGAACTGCAGCGCCTGCTTCGACCCCAACAACTCCCTCTACGGTCTCTCCAAGAACATCCACCTGCTGGGCAGCCTCATGTCGAGTATCGCAAGCACGTACGCAAGCTTCCTCACGTATCAGCGCAAAGTCGCCATGGACGCCTCCGCCCAGGACGACAAGATCCACCTCCCGATTGGCCCCGACGCAGGCGTCCAGTTCCGGCTGTCGGGCCAGGAGTACTGGTCTCTTCTCAAGACGACGGTCGGTTCCGAGATTGACCACGTCATGCGCCTGTGCACCTCCTTTGCCGAGCGCCAGACCAAGACGCACTCGCGAGGCCACGAGGTCTGCGAGTCAGGTAAGCCCTGCCACAAGGAGGAAGAGGTGGTCGAGGAGGACAAGTGTCCGAGCAACGTCAACATTGCCAAGAGCTACTCTTGCTTCCGGACGGTCGAGCAGGTCAGAGCTGCGATCCTGGAAGCGAGGAGAATCGTCAGGGGCGAAGGTTGGGGCGAGGTGAACGGACAACAGTGTTTGTGATCTGGCGTTCCCTCACGATGGCACGAATTGTATGAAACGATACCCCCATTTGTGTACAGCCTGTACATCTATGTCTAATTCTATTCATTCACACCTCCCACAACACTGTCATGATCGCGTCACAGCAATCGCCTTCTCCAGGATATCAAGCCCCTCGTGAATCTCCGCCTCGCTGATCGTCAAGCTCGGCACGAACCGCAGCGTGTTCACGCCCGCCGTGATAATCAGCAGACCCCTCTCCCTCGCCGCCTTGATCACCGGCGACGGGTCCTGGCTCATCTGCAACCCCAGGATCAGACCCTTGCCCCTGACCTCCTTAATAAGATCGGGGTATTTCTCCCGCAGCGCCTCGAACCTGGTGCGGAAGATCTCGCCCTTGGCGACCACGGATTCCTGTAGCTTCGCATCCGACAACCGCGTGACCATGTGATGCGCCACGCGCGCCGCGACAGGGTTGCCGCCGAATGTGGTGCCGTGGTCGCCCACCATGATCTTCTCGCTGACATTCTTGCTCACCACCACCGCACCGACCGGGAATCCATTCCCCAGCGCCTTGGCTGTGGTGAGGATGTCCGGGTGCGCCTCCTTGGGCAGGTGACCGTGCGCCCAAAAGCTCCCCGTCCGTCCCATGCCGCACTGAATCTCATCGTACACGAGGACCGCGCCAACCTCTTTGCAGCGCTTGGCGAGCGCGATGAGAAACTCGTCACTGGCGACCTGGACACCGCCCTCGCCCTGGATAGGCTCCACGATGACGCCGCACGTCTTTTCAGTGACGGTCTCTTGGATGGCGTTGATGTCGTTAAACTTGCCCTGCTGGAAGCCAGGCACCATGGGCGCAAAGGGCTCCTGGTACTTGGGGTTATGTGTCGCGGACAGCGCCCCCATTGTGCGGCCGTGGAAAGCACCGTTGAAGGACACGAGCTCTGTCTTCTGCCCGCTGGGGTCCACGATCTTGCCCACCTTGCGGGCGAACTTGATGGCCGCCTCGTTGGCCTCGGAGCCCGAGTTGCAGACAAACACCGTGGCGGCGTCCTGCATGGCCCCGGACGCCAGCGTCTTCTGGACGAGCGCCTTGCTGAGCTCGCCGGTCCACGGGTTGTAGTACAGGTTGCTCGCGTGCGTCAGGGTGTGGGACTGGTCGGCGATGATGCGGGAGACCTCGGGGTCGCAGTGGCCCAGGGCGTTGACGGCGATGCCAGCGGTGAAGTCGAGATAGCGCCTGTTCTCCAGGTCCCAGAGATAGGACCCCTCGCCTCGTACGAAGACGGGTCCTGGGCGGGCGTAGGTCGCGACCATGTACTGGGCGTGGTCGCCCACGAGCGCGGCGCTGGGAGAGTCGGTGGCAGGATCTGGGTTGGGCAGGGATGCCTCCCTCTAGAAGTGACTGTTAGCAGCTGTGATAGGAACCGAATTGGACGGTACACCTACGGCGATGCTCTGCTTGACCGCATCGGAGAGGTTCGATGTCGCATAGGTTCGCTGCGCCAGGCGTGGGCGTACTGTCGACGCAAGGGTCGCCAATTGGCGTCGCATCGAGAGTCGCAAGGCCATTGCGGGAAATCGGTCAGCCTCGAGCAGCCGTGCGCAGGGAACAAGAGAAGTATCGAGGCGAGTGACGAGGGAATGGGACAGTCATGTTGATGGTGGTGGTCTGCCGCGTATTTTGTTTATGCTTATCGATAGGAAATCACTCCGACGTCGGGGCCTCCAGTCGCCAACATCGTCACTGTAAGTACCACTTGGAGTCACAAGGTATCGCTTCCACGAGGGTACGCTATGAATCAATATCGACATGGCTGTCACAAGACACCAGGTCGCCAGTGTCATGCATTAATGGAGACAGCAAGTCATGTTCTAGGACTTCTATGGACCTCAGCCATCACCACTGCAACGGACACCCACTCCTTCTTCATGAATTTTTATTCGATTGTGTTCTAGCAGACATAGCTTCACTAGATATTAATGAGAGAGACTTGGTCGCCAGATCCTCTACTCCAACATTGTAAAGGTCCTCGCACACATGGTCCTCAGTTGCCCCTACTGGTGGAAGTGGGGATCCTTGAGCAGCTTCTCAAGACTGCCCTCGGCAACGCGATGTGGTTGCTCGCGGTTCGGCGACGACTTGACCGAGAACATGGGGTTGTTGCTCCAATCACCCCTGCGGACCAGAGTCGCCAGAACACCTTCGGCGGCGAAGGAGTCGGGCTCGACGTGCGTCACGGGCTTCTGCTCCTCCTTGTCGGTGAGCTGGTCGACAATGGTGTCAAAGATGTCGGCGAGATCGTTCAGGCTGTTGACAATGGGCTCGCAGTGGTCAATGAAGCTTTCCAGGTCCGCGGCGGACGTGGTGGCCTCCGCATCCTGGGAGCCGTGGAGACGGTGAAGCTCCTCCTTGGCCATCCGGACCGTCAGCCACAGGTCCTCAAAGATCTCCATCAAGCTGGGAATGTCGAGCTGAACGTCAGAGAGCTCGCCAGTGCCGTCACGCTTCTCGTGCGCCACGCCGTTGGCCTCAATGATACGGGCGATCAAAGCGGCAGGATTCTCCATGCCGGGGCGCAGAGGGTCCAGCGTCGCGATGAGACTGGCAAGAACAGTCTTGATTCCGTCTTCCCGGTCTGGGTCAACTTTTTCAACAAATTCCAAGGCCGCCTTGGAGCGCTCAAGGACAGACTGGAATGTCTGCCTCAGCCTGGCCTGGTCAGAGTTGTCCACCTCGTTGCTCCGCTTGTTGTTCGGAAGCACGGCGGTGATGTTCTCAAAGATCTCCGGGCACTTGGCCTTGTATTCCTTATCGTTGCCTTGGGCCCAGCTCATCACGTCGTCGACGGTGATGTGGACGCCGCCCTTCTTGCCCGACGTCTCGTCGCGCTTGGCCTGGGTCTCAGCGGCAATGTTCTTGAACAGCTCAGGGCGCTTGGCTTGGTAGTCCTTGCCCTTACCCTGGGACCAACGCAGCACGTCGTCCCCCGAGATGGGGACGCCGCGCTTGTCGTTTTTGGGCTTCTTCAGTTCCGCCCACTTGTCGTCGATGGAATGGAGGATGTCCTTGGCGGTGAAATCGGTACCGTCGTGCGCAGCCTGGTAGCTGGGGGTCTTGCAGGTCTTGCAAGTCTTGTCCTCAGTAACAACCTCCTTGTCAACACCAGTCTCCTCAATGGCATCAGTCTTCTCGGGAGTGTCGGCCGTCTCACAGATGGCCTTGCAATCGTCCTCGCTGACACAGATGGACTCGCAGTCGTCCTCGTCGTCACACTGGCAACAAGAACCCATGCCACGCTTGACCTTGCCCTCGCAGAAGTCGTCCACAAACTTGAGCAGAAGCTCGGGGTCGTATTTCTTAAAGTAGGGAATCTTGTCCTCATGACCCTCCCACTCGCTCAGATCTGGCTTCTTCAGGTTGTACAGGACGTGGGGGCTTGGGCGTGCTTCCTCGCATTTATTAGGGAAGACCACCACATCGACAGCCTGAGACACGGGCTCATCGCTGGGAACGCGGATGACGCCGGCCGTGGCCATTGGCAAGGCCGCAGCCACTGCAATGGCAAAGTTTGGATGCATTTTGGGTCGTTGGTAGGTGACCGTGTCGTTTTGTAGGTCTGATGTAGAGAGAGTAAAGGCCGTGAGGTCGCGATGGCAGAGGAGAATTATATGGCCCAACAAATCATGACGGCAAGGTGTGCGAAAATAGAAAAAGGCTAATGTCGTGTCCTTTTGGCCTGTCGTAGCGATCCAAAGTCCTTTTGCGCGATCTGGCGTTAATCCTAAGGTATCAAGGTTTGTCCTTTAGGGGGGCCACGATATGCTCAGGGTGCTGAAAACTGCCCTTCCACCCACTGCCGTAGGGATAACAGCGCATCTTAGCCGCGCCATCGCTGGACAATCTTTTGACTTAATTGTTGCCGGTGGAAGTCTCATTGCGAGGAGCTTGTGCCCGGTCAGTACTCCCAACAGTGCGCAAGTCGGTGTCGAACTCCAAATGCCAAATCACAGTAGCCAGACCATCCATTGGTAAGAAGAACCTTGCTGCTCAATTCAGTCAGTCTACCCAAATCACATGCGCTCACTCAGCCCTGGGCTTCTGCTGCTCAAGAATAGAAACACTTCATATTGCCAACCACCTCTGCAAATTTCATTTCGCTCCATCGTACTTTACAACGTCCTGGGAATGTTACAGCATGGTATGGTCAGAACCTCAGACGGCGCTGTAGCCGCCCCGGCTCCCGGCCCCTTGCACGGTGTTGAGGACACTGCGCGTCCAGTCCTTGACGAGGTACGGAATGTCACGCAGCGTGTCCCCGTGGGGGAGGAGATCCCATCCGCGGGCACCATAGCGGCTGTAGTTGAGCCACGACCCAAAGATGAGGTAGGAAGCGACGCCCAGAAAGGCGCTATCGAAGAGTTAGCAATTGTCCTGTTGGGAGATAAAAGAGATAGCCTACATGATCAGCATCCACGTAAAGAAGCCCCAGTGACTGCTGTTGTCCGACTCGCCGTCGTCGCCGCTTTCTTCGCGGCTTTCGCAGGCATGCTTCGTATACCAAGTCAGTCGCAGAACATCAGCATCCTTCTTCTCGTTGACGCTGTAACCCTCCCAGACAAGGGCAGCGCCCTCCTTCTTAAGCTGGTGCTCGACTCCAGACTCTGTGCCATCGTCGTTGTCGTCCCCTTTATTCTCGTCCCCATCCTTCTTGTCATCCCTCTTTGCTTTGCTGTCCTTCTTGCCGTCGTCTCCATCGTATCGGTCCTCGGATCGCCACTCGTTCTCCAGGCCGGTCTTCTCCTTGTCGCAGAGGAACTCAATGACAGCCTGTTGCGGCCGACGCTGCTTGTTCGGTCCGCTCAGGGGATGTTTCCCTCCCTTGAGCACGAGTCGGACGCCTTCCTTTTTCGAGTCCGAGTTCGAGTCACTCGTCTTGAGACGCGTAGCTTCGTATTCAAACGATGTACCCCCCACATTCTCGAGTCCACCCGCAATGGCGACGACCTTGGTGACCATGTCGGTATCGTCTTTCAGGGTTCGCTCGATCGCGCATACTGTCCATGGTCAGTTCCTGCGTCGTCCTCCCATAGGCTAGCAAGCTCACCTCTAGTTCCATTCGGGCACTCCTCTCCTTTTTTGGATTTTCCGCTCTTCTTCAGAGGCTGACAGATATCGACGGTGTACGTGGTGTTGAAATGCGTTTCGGCGAGCGACTCCCACCGCGACGTCACGACCGAGTGTGGCCCGCCAAGCTCAGACAGGTCAAAGCTATGCCCATCTATGCGAACATTCTCGCACCTCAGCATCGCAGATGAAGGTAGAGGCGCCAAGAGTAAGGGGAGCAACAGCCCCGAAGCTTGCGGAAGCTGCATCGTCGTGTGACTGGTGCTAGGAGCGGTCGGCAGCCGGTGCGTTCGAGATGGAAAGGTAGAAAATTGGATAGACCAAAGAGCGAGTGTGGCAGCTGCGAAGAGACCCTCGAGCGTTGATGAGAAATGAAGCAAAGGAAGAGTCGAGGATAGTTTGTGATGGTCACCTGCAGCAGAGCATCGCGACGCCTGAACGGGTGTCCCTGGCTCCCGGTCTTGGCGATTGTGTCATTTCCCAAAGGTGGGTCGAGACAAGGTGGTCACGTGCTATTACCAAGCCGACGACAACGTCAGCAGACATCAATCTATCTACGAACCTGACTTGTGTAGGTTGAGTCTTTCTTGACAGGACCAGCCATCGAATAGTAATACTGCTTGTCAAAGATGAGCCATGTAGCCTTTTCAGCGAGGTGAACCGGCAGCCGTCACATCCGCGTACAGTCCCCAAGAGTGACACACTCACGAGTCGTCGCGGAAAGGACATTTAAATCTCAGACAGCAGTCACACATACACGGTCATAATGCAATATATAAGCCATAAGACTAAGCAAGGCAGGTGAATATACGGTCCGTGACGTCCAGTGCGCCGTCCCCCGCTCATGGCCCCAAACTCCAATACCATGAAAGAACCCTTGGTGCTACAGGAAAAGCAATGCTCCCTCGGGGTATAACGCATCCAACGCCATCTCATAGTCGTTCCGTCCTGTGTCGTTTTGATCATCCGAGGGAGTGCAGACACGGCTGTTTGCTGGCCATGCCGAGAAAATGACTCCTTAACCGTGCTCCGAGCCGCACCCCTACATGGGCTGCTGTCCCATCATCCCCATCTGCATCGCAGCCTGCTGTTGCTGCTGGTTTTGTTGATTTTGCTGGTTTTGTTGTTGCTGCGCCATCATCATCTGCTGTCGTTGCATAGCCATATTTTGCTGCTGCTTCTGGTAGGCCTGCTGCGCCCTCTGCAAAGCCTGCTGCTTGTACTGCTCCTGCGTGTCAGGCGGAATATTGTCCTTTCCCCCATATTTGTTAGCGGCGTCCGTCATGGATCGCAGGTAGAACTGCTGCGCCAGGTTGTTGATGGCAATTTGCGCCGGGTTCTGCTGCTGCTGAGCCATGCGTTGTTGTTGCTGCGCGGCATGCTGCTGCTGCTGCTGCAACTGCTGCTGCTGTTGCTGCTGCTGCATTTGCATCGCCATAGCTTGCATGTTCGGATGACTGCCATTCATCATCTGCGGATTGCTCACCTGTCGATGCATCCCATTACCACCCATCTGTTGCATCCGCATCTGCTGCTGCATCATTTGCAGCTGTTGCGGCGTCATCTGCGCCCGCATCTGTCCACCAGCCATATTTTGCAACTGCTGACTATACTGCTGCGCAAGTTGTTGTTGTGACATCATGCCACTTTGCTGCTGGTGCTGCTGTTGTTGCTGTTGCTGCTGCTGGGCCATGGCCTGCCTCTGCTGCATGTAGTGCAACATCTGCTGTTGTTGCTGAGGCGACATTTGCTGCATGTTCATCTGCTGCATGTTTTGTTGTTGCTGCTGCAGACGCTGCTGATGTGCCAACTGTGCCATGAACTGCGGGTTCTGGGACATGTTTTGGTTGTTCATCATAATGGCCTGCGGCATGTGTTGCGAGTTCTGCTGCATCATATTAGGAGGGGGGCTAGCCTGCGTCATGCGCGGCGTCGCAGCCATGGCTTGCATGTTGACAGGCGTGCCATGAGCCATGTTGGGTGTGCTGTGGGGTATGCGAGGTGTGTTGGACGGGTGACTCTGCTGACTTCCCCTAGCAGACATGTTATGAGCCATGGGGACCGCCATAGGAGGATTTTGCACGACCGACGATGGGCGTGGCGGACTCGCACTCGTTTGCGGAATAGCCATGTTCGAGTTCACCATGGGTGACGATTGAGCTTGTGGCGTTCCTTGCCGAATGACAGGCGAAGCAGAAGCCTGGGCTTGCTGTTGAGAGAGCGCCTGGAATCGAGCCTGCTGAGCGGCAGCCATATTGGGGTTGGCGCCCATCGGCATGCCACCGGCGTTAGGATGGGGCATGCCGTTCGCCATCTGGGCGTTGGGAACTTGTTGCTGCTGAACCCCATTGACTTGGTTCTTGTTCTGGTTGGCACGTGCAGCCATGGCTTGTCGTTGGGCTTCTTGAGCTTGCTGTGCCTGTTGTTGTTGCTGCTGTTGATGCTGCTGCTGCTGTGCCTGTTGTTGCGCTTGTTGTTGCTGCTGCTGCTGCCTGGCCTGCGCTTCCCTAAGAGCTGCCGCCTCGCGCCGGGCCTTTTCTGCTTCGTTCTGCTGCTTTTGCGCCTGGCTGTCAGCCTGCTGCTGTCTCTGCAACTGCAGCTTGCGGTCATTCTCCTGCTGTTTGAGCTTCTCCTGTTCCTTCTTCTCGGCGAGCTCCTGCTTGATCTGATTGATAATCTTGAACCGCTCAAAGGTCGGTTCAAACCCTGCAGCTGTAGTCTGTCCGTCGTTGTCCGTCGTTGAGCCGCCCTGTGCACTATTAACGCCGGGTCGTTCGTCGAGGAACAGCATGTATCTCTCTTTCTCAGCGGCGGCAGCCTCGTCCGCTGCCATCTCGGCGACGGTCCTCTTGCGGGTCTTGGGCTCAGGTGGCGGGTCAAGATGTTGCGGATGCGCCATAAACTCTAGCAGCGCAATCTGTCTCTCGAGTGAGGCCTTGGGTTCGAGCGTCAGCGGTGCCGTTGTCGCGAGAAGAATCTCGCCCTCCGCCGCATGTATGTATTCTGGTTCCAATTCCGGCTTCTTTTGCTTCAGCCTCTTTGCGGGCGGGGGCATATTGCTTGCTGTCGGTGTCGGGAGGGCCAGTTTCGATGGAGTAGCGGGAGGGTTCAAGCCGGGTGTCTCGGCAACGCCTGCATCCAAAGGTGGCATGGAGGCTTTCAGAACAAGGTCTCGCTGCAGGCTTTCAGGTGTCGGATGCAGCACCATCGTGAAGGTGCGAGGCTTCAACCCGGCTACCGAACGCGTGCCATTGTCTTTGTCGGACTCTTCATGCTTCACATTCGCATCAGCGTCTCCCGTCTGACCATTGCCATCGGCGTCATTTGGTTCGTCTTTCGGAAATGGGGCGTAGGAAGAAGGCGTGATATAGGGATTGTATTTGTGAACCGAGGTCTCCTTGGTGTCCTTGCTCTTGGAGGCAGATCGGGCCGCGTCTTTGACTTGCGCCACTGATTTGTGATCGCACACCTGCACAATCAGACATCCATCGTAGAAAGGAACACCTGCGGCGTTAAATTGCTCCAGCAGTTCGGGTGGGATCGTCTTCGTCTTCAAATGCTTGACGAAGATACCCATCGGGGAAGTATAGGTGAAAACGCTATCTTGGCCATCGAATCGGAAATGGGACGGATGAAGGTGAACAACGAGGGAAGGTATCGCGCCAGCGTGTTTCTGGAGGATGTATTTGCTTGTGACAACTACATTTGGTTAGTACGGTAAGCTGTCTGTTTGAGCATGATCATACTATAAGGCCGTGGTTGTCCGGCTCCTTGCATCATATCCCACCCGAGCCTGAGGTTTGCGGTGTTGCGTGTTCTCCCCAGCTGCAGGTTCGACGTATCTCTTCTTATCCGATTCGGTCGCACTGTTGATGCTGTGATGGTTCGCTCTGTTGCCGAGCTGGGTTGCGACTTGACGGTCGGGGGTGGCTTCTTGGCGGCGGACGGCGATGATGCTGGTGTCGATGCCATCGAGCCGTTGGTCTGTATGGTGGGAGGCGCCGCGCGCTTCAACTTGTTCGCGCCATTTGGCTGGCTGGCAATTGGCGCCATGCTGGCCAAGGCGATGATGGTCGTTGTGCTGACTGCGCCATGCAGCAGCGATTGCTCTCAGCGCCCCAGTGTCGCCAAAGCTACCAGGTATGGGACGTTCGCATGGATGATTGAAGCGTTCCCGAGTGTGTTATGACTCGGTCGAAATGGAATCGATGGCCGTGGGCGATGCGCGCGTGATTGAGCGTGTCGGCCGATGAGGTGAGGTCGGGATGTTGGTGGGTCGATGACGGGGCCTGTATAGCGCAGACACGGTAACGCGTTCGGAGTCTAGTGGTGCAGCGCAACCGACGAAGTTGGTGTATGAAAAACAAGCGAAAGAGTCTTGTTCTATGAGTGCGAGGAATTTGAATGCGCGCTGGCCGAGTCCTTCTCGAAGGAATCGGTTCCGGACGGCTTCTCGTTTAACGTGGGGAGTGTCGTGCCGCCGCATCACGAATGCGATCGGGGCTCCACGTGCACAGAAGGATAGGCCTGTCCTGCTCACGTGACGTGAATTGTGTCCATCATCAACCAGCACTCTCAGCCCAGTGCCTTCAGTTGCAGAACGTTTGGACATCACTCAAAAGATACTCAGCACGCAATTGACTTTCTCGTTTAAACGTCTCGAATAATCATCATGTAAGGGGTCGACGAGCCCGACTGCTGCCTCGCAATCGTGCTATTGGCTCCCATCTTGTAACCACCGTTGACGTAAAGACTACTGTCAACGAACCGACAATGTACAAATATCCACCATACTCTCCATATGTATATTCCTTCAAATCTCTGCCAGTCTACTCCACGCCGTGCACGCGCCGGATCCAGTCATCGTTGACGCGCATGCCGTCAACAACGACAACACCTCGTCCGCGACCCACCCTCTCTGGCTTCTTCCACCATTTCTCAGGTTGTCCTGAGCGTTCAGCCTCCGACTCACTGTCGGCCAAGCCACCTGAGCCACCTTCAGCACCGACAACAAGCACAATCTCATGACGAAGCCACGTCTGCAGATTGGAAATGATGCTGCCGTTGTCTCCGGCCATGGACTCCTGTAGGTAGATGATTTCCGGCTGGAGGTGTCGCAAAATGTGAGTGTGGCCATTGGGAGTAGTAAAAGGAAGTATCATCGTCTCCTTGTCCACGATTGCCAATGCCTGCGAGTATACGGCATTATAGGCTGCGCTGCTTGGGGTCGGGGTCGGCCTGCGGAAATCAGTCTCTAACCACGTGCATCGCGACTGGTGGGGGCTTACTGTGATGTGCGCCCTTCCTCGCTGGGTTGGGCTTGTTCATGACCAATGTTAGAGAAGGAGGAGCTTAACGAAGGAGGCGGCAGGTTACCAGTCGCGGTCTCTAGGTTGGTTTCCTTCAGATCCGGTGCATAGATCAAGACGAACAGCTTGATTTTGGAAAAGTCGTTTTGCCGGGGTATGTGAGACAAGATTGACTGGGCATTGTTAGTCAATTGGCATGGACACCATTCTCCTCTCCGGCTTACTGCGTGCTCCAGATAGTCGTCGGCATCGCCTTGCGTGTAGGGCGAGTCCGCGGACACGATAACGGCCACTGTTCTTCTATGCTTGGAAGGGCCAATAGGCGCTCGGTCGGCTTTCGCATCCGCTTCCTCAGACCATGGGTTGCTACCAGCGTATGCCTTGTCTTCTTCCCGAATCGAGGCCAACGCCTTGCCCATAGCCGCACCGGCGGCCGCGAACCCAGCTGCGACAGTCTTCCCGGTTGAGTCGAGGAATTGCTGCGGGCTTGGTGTGCGCCTCAGCGCCCCTGACATGCGCGTTCCCCAGCCTCCAGCGGAAATCTCGCTTGGGGCCGCATCCTGCACTCCATAGCTCTCGTGATCGCCGACCGATGCGCGAGAACGCGGCGGTTGTTGAGGTGATCGGTCGTCGCCTGCTGTACCGTAGGGCGGGTTGTCTCCATAGTCGGCATTGTCGTAGTCCAATCCAGGTTCTTGGCCCTCCTCATCCGAGCCCTTCCTCTGGCTCCAAGCCCACGCTGCCACTCCAGCTGTTGCAATCGTCAGGGTGACGGCCAGAGGGACCCAGTGGCTCCAGACACCACGACGACGCGAGTCATAACGATCGGGTGCCATCTTAGACGAATGGCTGCGGCATTGCTCTACTGTGTCGCGACGGGTACCGCGTCGAGGCGGTGTAGTAGGCGCGTTTGGATGCTCTCGGTGGGCGAAGCTTTTGCAGGTGTTTTCAAGATGGGCTTGCAAGGAGTAAAGCCGCGCGCAATGAGGTGGGAAGGCGTCGCAATGATGGTGGCTGGACACCTGCAGCAGCGATCATTTCGGGTCGGCATCAACAAGCGCCAGCTCGCCCAGCCCAGCAACGGACGACCCGAGGTTCGGGCTGGGCTGCATGACATGCGCGGGGCGGGCTTGCGCGTTTAGCCTACCCTGTCACAATTCCCAACCTTGTTCACCCCCAACGTTGGGCAGGCTGCGGTCTCGAAATTTTGCCACGATGGATTATTTATCTCATGATTCTAATACGTAGTTCTTCCAAGGGTTCAACTTGTCTTTTGGTGTTATAAACATGAATGTAGGCTTGTGCTTAGTGGGATTTCAAATGATGTGTTGGACATGTTGACAACACTCCGTAAACAATATGACAGCACCCTCAAGATTCGCGTTGTCCTATATATGCAAATATATAAATATTTTACAAAATCTGTCGTAGGGCACTGACAGCTCAACCTCGACCATGATTAAATTAACATACCATCTTCAGTCGTAGGCCACTTACTCAGCCACACCTAACCTTGAGGTTACCACACCTCCCTAGCCACACCTCCTCAGCCACATTTCACCCCACGTCCAGTAGCTTCATGACATCCCACCTTCGCAGCCAAACTTTTGATGAATGACTCTTCACGCATCACCATGCCGCATGCTGAGAAATACCCCCCGACGGGCCTCCAGGCCCTCATCCTATGTGGACCGGGCTCTTCGTTTCCGACTTTCACATCAAGCCCCGATGAGAACCCAAAAGCGCTCCTACCCATCGCCAACAGGCCCATGGTTTGGTACCCCATCGACTTCTGCTATCGCACAGGCATCAACAGTACGTCTCGCCTTTCCAGAGACGCCCGCGTGTCTGGAGTCAATTTGGGCGCTAACAACAGCAGGAATCACATTAATATGTCCCCCATCAGCATCAGAGGCCATCAAAACGGGCCTGAACACGGACATCTACCTTACCAGCTTGCCGCTCCCCCGGCCTGATGTCCTGGCGCCAAAGGATCTCGACCATAATATGGGCACCGCCGAGATCCTACGGCTTCCGGAAGTGAAGGAACTTGTTGACAGCGACTTTGTCATCTTGCCCTGCGACCTTGTTTGCGAAGTCGCGGGGAGCCAATTGCTCCAGGCATGGCAAGTAAAGTCAGGCAGTCTGCTCAGTAGTCTGGAGGTGGACCACCTCACGAACGGCAAGCGCTCTCGTTATAGCAGCGGCATGGGCGTGTGGTACGACACCAAGGCGAACACGCCCATCAAAAAGGAGGAGACGGACTTTATTGCCACAACGTCGCTGGACAAGCCGACAATGGCGCCTGCCAAAGAATCCATCATTCCGGGGATATCAAAGCTGGTGTATTCAACTCCAACGGATACTCTCAAAGACGTGATCGAGGAGAGCAGCGGGCTGCCCATTCGCCACGGCCTGCTCAAGGCACACCCCCGAGTGCGCATGCTCACGAAGCACCGTGATGCGCACATTTACATCTTCCCGCGCTGGGTCCTTGAGTTTGTGGAGCGAAACGAGCGCATGGAAAGCATAAGTGAGGACGTGGTCGGCTGGTGGGCCAAGGCGAGCTGGCAGCGTGGTCTGGCCGAGAAGCTGCACGTGAAGGCAATCTGTCAGCCGCAGAAGCCCAACGCAGACAGCCAGGACTCACCGACGAGCGAGAACTCACAAGGGGCCCGGGATCTGGAGCAGGCGCTGTGGTCCCGGACATCGACCATGACCATGGGCCTCACATCGCAGCAGCTGCGTCGAGTTCTCAGTCACAATGAAAGCCAGCCGGAGTCAGAGGTGCCGAACATCCTGGCATACGTACATTCTGGGCCCAGCCAGAAAGAGGGTTCTCTAATCAGGAGAGTGGACACAGCGCAGCTACTGCTGGCAATTTCGCTCCAGCTTGCAAAACTACCGTCGCTCGAAGAGACGGGAGGCGAGTCCATCTCTCCGTATGCCCACGCCAGGAAAGTCGCCTACCCCGAAGGCGTCAAGTCACGCACTACAATCACGAAGCAAGACTCTCTGGTGGGTGAGAATGTGACGATTGAGGAGAAGGTTGCCATCAAGGAATCCGTCGTCGGCACAGGCTGCCAGATCAACGAGGGTGCCAAAATCTCGGGATGCCTGCTCATGGATGGCGTTGTTGTCGGGAAGAACTGCAAGCTCACCAAGTGCATTCTCGGAAAGCGTTGCGTCATAGGGGACGGGTCTATCTTGACCGATTGCGAGGTTCAAGAGAACTTGCTGGTGGAGCCAAAGACCGAGGACAAGGACAATCGCCTGATGAGTTCTGAGGGTTTGGAGGCCACGGAGGCCGAGATGGACGAGGTTCTCCAGGATCAAGACGGAGAGGCAGACGATGCTGTCATGAAATAACCAACAGGGCAGGACAAGAACGAAGCCTCCTCTCGAGGTGAAATCTATTTTCTACATTCACATTTACAATCAGATCCAGAGCTGTTCGTTGCAGACATGTTGGCCCCTGAGCTGTGGCAGACTCGCAGTAATTATTTGGTAAGGAACTTGACACTCTGAGCACATGCGATGGCCAGGAAGCGAGAACGATACCAGTATCGAATCGGCGAGATCGGGATCAAGCTGAGCTGCTTCAAATGATAACGAATGCTCAACCAACTCACTGACAGGCATACGAAAAGAAATCGCAATATACGTCATCGTGTTGCCGACTTCTCGTCCTCTCAGCCCGCAACACTCAACATCTCCCCACCCAGATCAAAGGCATCGAGCGCATCGAGCGCATCGAGCTCAACCTGCTGCAGCTTTCGACAAGATGGTGTGGTCTGAAGATCTACAGCTGTGCGCTCGATCCTGTTCCTGCAGCACGATCAGTCGGACGCCTTCCTGCCCAGCGACCAGACTGAACTGGATGCTGCAGGCGACAAGTGATGATGAATTACTGCGGAGTCCCCTCCGCCATCGCCGTCGCGCCCCCCTTCCCTCCTCAGCTATTGCTTACGTACATGTACCTAGCTCACGACACTATTTGCTGCTGGAGGACAATGTCCTCTCTGTTCTGCTCAACCCCCTCCTTTGGCTTGCTCGCTCAGGCCTCGGGACCCAGTGCACTAGTAGGGTCCTCCCGCAGCAAGCGGATGCACGACGTGCAGCCTGTCCCCGCAAAACAAGATCTGAACGAACTCGGAAGCGCGAAATCTGGAGAGCTGGGCTTTTTTGATCATCCTCTTTTTGGTTTTTTCTTCTGTGGGAAGCATGCATACAGCAGGCAAAGAAAGTGCTGTCTGTCGCCGGCTGTCGTCCGCAGCTTGCATCGCCCAATGCATGCATGCGCATGCACAATGATGCCGTCGTCACAGCGCAAGGAGAGTTGGGAACTTGGGAATCACTTGGGAGCTGGAAAGAGGGTCCAGTGGACGGAGCTCCCGTCGGTTCGTTGCATGATGGGCACCAGGGGAGGGAGGCTCTGGCCGCAGCTTGGCACGATCAATGTCTGTCTGCCTGCGGAGGGAAGAACCTGTAGTTCGGCGCCTCTTTGGAGCAAGACCAATTCTCCAGCAACCCGCGCGAATAGTGTCCGTTGCCCCTGGCAAAGGGCATCGCGGGAAATGACCCTGTCTCTGGCGCCTCGTGGCAGCAGGATGGGATTGTGCTGCGTCGTATGAGAAAATTGGGGGGCGGCCTGTGTCGTGCATGAACTGGGTGATCTTTTTCCCTAGCTGGGCTCCTGGCGTCCCTGTCTTGCCGACGGACATTGCGGGAGAAACAGAGTGATAAGAGTGCCTGGGCCGGCGCAAACTCTGTTTGATTACTGAGATCTGTGGCTGGTTGCGCTGCTGTCAAGCGCTTGCTGATCGACTCTGGACCTACTTCGTATTAGCCGTGCGACGGATAAAAGCGCATCCTGCGGCGTTCCCGGATCCGGAGGACCATCTGGAGATGGGTTGACAGGTAGAAACTTCGGGACGGACCGACCGCAAGTATTGGACCCGGAAAGGCGTCGTTAGTCTACGAGTAGTCCGATCCCAAGCCTCGGCAGCTCTTGGAGTCTTGGCCCGAGCGCTCATGTTCTATTCGCAACATCCTCTGCAGCACATCAAAGAGGTCGCAAGGCACAGCCTTATGGTCATGACGCAGATAGATGGAAATAGGACTGCGGGCAGGGCAGGGGCTGAGAATAGACTACCCGGTCATGGTTCTGCGGCTCGAGGAGCTCAGATCAAGAGCGCACGGTATCGTCCCTGGACAGCGCTCCACGAAAGGACGCTAATCATGAAGCCCGCAGCCAACAGAGCGGCGAGAAGTGGCCAATCATGGTGACGTGGAGAGTTCAGGGTTATTGTCCATTGACAGCCGTTAGCCCCGGAGATACGAGCCTCGCTCAGACTGACGACAGCAGTCGAGGCCTGCCTGTCGTGTTCTCAGACTCCCAATCGACTGGAACTATACGTGTTGTACATCCTTCTCGGCCCTGGCCAAATGCCTCCCAATTTTCGACGTCCGGGTTTACCCGGCATACTCGTGTCCGCAAAGACAAAGGACACAACAAAGACTTGACAGATCATGAGCGAGCGTGGCCTGCAGGTCGATCGTTGACGCGGGCTCCCCATTGTTCAAGTGTGAGCTCAGCCGACGATGCACCATCGCTGTGAGGTGTGTCTAATTGCAGTTGGCGAGAGCCTCCGCGTTAGCGCATCGTCCCGGGGAAAAAGCAATCTCAAAGTGTTTTTGACTTTTGAGGGCGTGGTACCTATCGTACGATGTCTACGAGCACCTCCCAAGGCCCAACCCCACAGCCCAGCATATGCATACTGCACATGCATGGACCCTCGACGGGTCGGAAGTGTCTCGCCATTCACTGCCGTGGTTCTTCGGTGAGCTGAGAGCAGTAGGACCAGCCTGACCTGACGCTGGCAAAGATCATCGGACGGTGGGAAAGATCCTCGGTAGGCATGCGAAAGGCCTGCATCGAGGTGACATGGGCACATGCATTGCTGGCGCAGGCAGGCAACTGCTCGCTTTGTGCCATTCATAGCCTCTGCCACGCTAATCTTAACAAAGAAAAGGTGCCAAGGGATCACGGTTCGCACGCTGCCCGCCCCTCGAACACCCATTGTCGCCATCTGAGGATCATGGGCATTGTCAGATCCCCATCATGACATCAGCCGAGGGCATGCTCGTCTATCACTTCCGTCTACAGACAAGAACATGGTGTCAAAATCCACGCTGTCTTGGGCCATTGTCAAATAGCCTGGACGCCGACGTGGTGAATATTGGAGAGACCCAGTCTGGATCAGGACAAGAGAAGCCTGCAGCGAGAGGGCAGAAAGTTCCTCCAAATGGTGTGAGACGCGCAGGAGGCTCTAGTAAACCGCGGAGTCCGTACCTGAAAAGAGTCCCTTCCTGTGCCTAGCCAACTCAGACCTGCTTCTGGGGCGCTCTCCACAGCTATCTTCGTTGGGGAATGATTTTGCAGGGACACAGCTGGAGCCTGGACGAGCTCACCCATCGGGGGCTCACCCGGTGGCGACTCGGTGGTATAGCAGTGGCTGTCTTGTCTTAGCGGGAGCCATGTTTTACTCGAGCCTACAGTGGGCGTCAGGTCCATTCACAAACTAGGCATCTTCATTCCATCCAGAGGGTCCCGTCGACAGAGAGAGAGAGAGAGGAGGGAGCAAGAGTTGATGATGCGAGCCGATGGCTCAATATGCTCAACTTGTTGCATGTAGCTGATGTAGCTGGGATGGGCCTCTTCTTACTGGACGGACGCGACCATGTACCTTGCGTCGGGAAGAAGTGGACTGCGCCGTCCCAAGCGACCAGGTACCTGCTGACGCAGACGCAGGGACTCCAGGGACCCGGACCCCTTCTGAATGCTGATGGGCGTCTAGGATGGGTGCGCGGTGGCTTTATCGTGGGAACAGCAGCTGTCAAGACGTTAGTGCGGGCGAGCGACACACCCTCCTCGAGCCTCACGCCCCTCCCCCCTGCCCGGCCGCACGAGCCTCTCAGATCGCTCTTTGTGCGTGCGTCTATGTGGCCCCAGCTACCCAAGTGCCAAGTGCTCTACATCTGTCTGAGCGTAAAGGCACTACACACCATACTACCATATCGTGCAGCCGGCAATGCATGCACCTGGGCAGGAAGAGCTATGCTTTCTGTTCTTCTTTTGGATACTGCCCGTTGGCTGCGCCCATTGCGGCAAGGCCTGGGCTTATCAGGGATATGTTGGAGCGAGCAGATCTGAAAGTTCTCGTCTGGAACCCACCCCTTGTTCCGTATAACTACCATCTAGGCCCGCAACGACGCTCGCCCTCGTCGAGACTGATGACTCGAGTTCAGAAACATCAACGCAGCGCATCCCAAACACCCAATCTATACCAACAATAGTCCGGTGTTCCTCTGCAAGTGTCCAGTCAGTTGAACCCCCTCTGCTCGGATCGTCAGCAAAACCCCAGCCGATCGAGATTCGTCGCCCGAGGCGCCTTGTACTGGTCACTCATATTTATTCCATTCCATCCGCAACTCTCTTGTCTCTCCATCTCTTCCCACCACACCCTCCTTCTTCTCTGCCACGGCAAGCCACTCCTTTCCCGCCCAAGCTTGGGGCGTAGTTGATCAGCGGAGCTGCTGTCTCAGGCCCATCGGCACCTCTTCGTCCGCCGACGCACACCACTCATTCCAGCTCGCTCATTGATATATCTTCATCCCTCTGCTCGACCAAGAGCATTCCGGCCAACCTTTGTCTGTCAACCAAACTGTCACTCCTTCCAACCGTTCTGTATCTGTCGACACTCTTCAACAACCAACAACACCACCACCACCACTACCGGCGGAAAGAAACACCTGCCCTTCGCCAGACACAGCCTCATCATCGCCAAGATGCTTCAGTTCGATACCGAGTACAGGTTCGACATGGACGATGCCTTCAGCATGTGCAACCAGTCCATGGCCTGCCCTTCCACAACCAACAGCTTCTCCTCCGCCTCGTCAGGCTTCGAGGCCATGACACCCATCTCTTCACGACGATCGACACCCAACGAGTTCAACTTTGAGCAGCCCGGCTACACAGCGAACCACGCCATCAACATGTCACCGTCCGCCGCCACCGACTCGATGGCCAAGTACTTCCCCCACCAGCACATCAAACAGGACCCCGAGCAGCTCTTTTACCCGCTGCCCATCACGCCCATGAAGAAGTTCAACCCCATGCCCACGGACTTTGATCTGTTGGACTTTGGCATGGGCCAGCCCATGGGCACCCTCACCCCATCACAGTCCTTTGGCGTGCACCATGTATCGCCGCAGACCATGTTCCCCACCTCCTACATGATGACACCCACACACAGCATGGCAGGTAGCGAGAGGTCAGACTCGGCCTCGTCATGGTCCGTCATCGAGAGCCCACACGGCAGCACCTTCAAGGCGGAGGACATCTTCCAGGACGTGCCCAACTTTAGGCTCGATCGTCAGACTCCCTCGCCCATGAGCCAAGGACGCTTTGGGGAGCCTGATTCCCACCAAGAACACCTCCGCAGGCAGCGCAAGCTTGAGTCCCGCCGGGCACAACGCAACACTGCACAGCCTCGTCGGGCGACGGGGAAAGACCACAAGCCCGCCTACGAGTGCAAGAAGAGCATTGATGTGGCCAAGAGCCCCCAGTTCTTCTGCGACTTCATGGGATGCTCCAAGAAGTACCAGAGGAACGAGCACCTCAAGCGACACAAGTCAACGTAAGTATCTGCATTCTCACCACAATGAAATCTCACACTCACATTTTCTTCAGTGCACACGGAGAAGGCGCCCCCAAAGGTGTTGGTCCTATGCTCTACACGTGCGAGTGGTGCGGCAAGTCTCAGAACCGCGAGGACAACCTCGCCTCCCACCGCCGGCTACACGCCCGTCCCAACAACCGCAATCGAGGTGTCGAGTTCATTCCAGAGGCTGTGCCCATCATCGAAGCCGAGGAGCGAGCACGCAAGCGCCGCGTCACCGCCAAGGCTAAGGAGCTGCGCGATGCCGGCATGAATGCGGACGCCGACTACGTCGAAGCTGATGCCAACAAATACTACTTCTAAGGAGTTGTTTTTGTCACACACTCTTTTCTTTTTTTACATTCTAATTCTATGGACATACGGGTGCTTCGGACGGCTTTTCTTCATTTTTCTTGCATTGGGTGGGCACGGGACTTCATCATAGGGGAGGAGATACCATTTTTCACTTTCACTTCTTTTCTTCTGAGAAGCTTTGTATATGGCTGGCATTCTCACGTTCGCTACTACATGAATGGGCGGAAAACAATAGGAGGACATACCCAGGGAACATAGGGGAGATATTCTGCCTTGGAGAGCAGATACTTGTAATGTAGCAATCATCAGGGCGTCTGTGGACAATTACATGATTATTCGGGCTTTCACTTCTCTCCAAATTCGCCACTGGACCTTGCCATTGCCATTTTCATCCATTGTCACCATGGAAAGGAGCAATTACTCCTTTGGCCACCGTGGGCGAGTCTTTCATGCGAGATCCTTCGGACGGCGAAAAAGGTGTCTCATCAAACTTCCGGCCCCTCCTGTCCCCGGGCGGGAATGGAGGCGAACATGAATGTATGTCTAAGGTACAAAGGTAGGGAGAGGCAATAGCGAGGTGGGTTTTGCCTCACCAACATGTCTTGGATTTCAGGCACGCAGCCGACGCTCGTAGGGGACGACACACATACGCATGTCCAACGTATACTCAAGGTTCAGAGCTTATGCGGCGCCAAGCTATATAAAGGAGTTCTTGGGGTGATCACACAAGATGCGACTGCAAAGAGAGAAGAAGAAGACGGGGCCACATTTCCTCTGACCTTTCTGGGGGGGGGGGGGGGGGGCGGGCGGGGGGGGGGGGGGGGGGGGGGGGGGGGGGGGGGGGGGGGGGGGGGGGGGG